TTGTTTACGCCAGACGCGCGTCTCGTCTTCATAAGGCTCACTAGTGGCAATCGAATCTAAACAGTTGTAAAACCAAATCAAATATTAAGAAGTTAAAGAACATCGAAAACCGAAAATACCAAAAAGTTGTGTCAAATACAGCTTAAGCAATCTAAACCTGGGAAATAGAAAACGATAGCGTTTTGCATATTTCAACATTATATGAATAGTGAATTTACAGAAAACGAACACATCAATTGCTGATAACTGGGCTGGTGATACCCTCGGGGACGAAACTTCCAACAGCAATGGCATCGACCCAGAGGTTTTAAAAACTCATTAATTATACCAGGCTTATAAATTGATGCTCCGGTTGGTGTTTCGTCTACATAAGACCCATCAGTGGTGCTCGAATATGCTTGGCAGTTGCATGGTCAAATTAAATATTATGAAGTAAATAAAATAAAACATTGAAATTATCTTGTTTGATGTGCGATTTTAATGTCCAAATTTTACTTCCAACCCCTAAATCACTAATGCTCGTAGCTAGTTAATAATGTTAATTTAACTCTTTTCAACTGCGGCACAAATTAAAACTTAAAAGACAATCGTCGTTTCAAATAATTTAATTAAAGACATGCTATAAATAAGGATCTTTATTTAGAATATCCTCGGTGTTAATAAGATTGATATTGTATATTATGTAACAGTAATTAAATACATTAGTGTTGTGTGTCTCATGTGGTACGTTTCTTTCCGCATAAAATTAAACATGCGAACTTGGCAAATAATGTTTATAATTGTTATATCATTCGAGTAAGTAGAAACTGAAATGGAATGGACATACAAGAGATTGATTGATTGCTGTTTGCTTAACGTACACTTATAAACAATTCCATGTCCGTATATAAACATGGATGTGAAGGCAGTAGCAATCGTATGCAGTTTATAAACAAGTCCATGTCCGTATATAAACATGGATGTGAAGGCAGTAGCAATCGTATGCAGTTTAAAAACAAGTCCATGTCTGTATATAAACATGGATGTGAAGGCAGTAGCAATCGTATGCAGTTTATAAACAAGTCCATGTCCGTATATAAACATGGATGTGAAGGCAGTAGCAATCGTATGCAGTTTAAAAACAAGTCCATGTCCGTATATAAACATGGATGTGAAGGCAGTAGCAATCATATGCAGTTTATAAACAAGTCCATGTCCGTATATAAACATGGATGTGAAGGCAGTAGCAATCGTATGCAGTTTAAAAACAAGTCCATGTCCGTATATAAACATGGATGTGAAGGCAGTAGCAATCGTATGCAGTTTAAAAACAAGTCCATGTCCGTATATAAACATGGATGTGAAGGCAGTAGCAATCGTATGCAGTTTATAAACAAGTCCATGTCCGTATATAAACATCATCGGGATGTGAAGGCAGTAGCAATCGTATGCAGTTTAAACAGAATGACACAAGTTGCGTCTGTTTCTTCTGTTATCCATGCACAACCCGTCATACGATCCAAAAGTCATACTTAAAAGCAAATATGAAGACCATGACAAACCGGTAATGTCATCTGGGCGGTTGTGGACATTTATGATTTATAGGGCTAATCAATAAGTTATAGGAACAATCGATGGAGAATTTTGATGATAGCAAATGGATAATATGATCTCGAGAACCAACCCACATGTTCACAAAAAAGTCACGAATAGAAATAGTTCCAACTCTAAATTGATAACTTATGTGGGTCCATTCCATACTGCATGGTTGGGGATCTTTTTTTAAAATCTATATTCAGGTTAAACTTATCAAATACAAATGTTTGACAACCATTTCCACAGGTAGTCAAGATTTTTTACTTTTATTTGTATATATTTTAGAATCTTTGTTTTTCATTCCTAAATCTACCATCGTGTAGAAAAGCTTGGTAATCTACCTTTCTGTGGAGGCCATCTTGCAGTTGAAGTTTTGTTCAAATTAATTTTATTTACACCTTCAAACTTATACCTTCCCCACAAATTGTCAAATATCATACGTAAAATGGAATTTAAGTGTTAGTAATGGAATTTAAACTGTACGTGTTTTGTTAATAAACAACTGTATCTTCAACCATAAAACTGATTTATACAGATAATTCATTCATGGCAAATAGTTTTTCATTGGATTTACAAAATGAATTTGCATATTTTAACACATCAAAGAAAGCATTTGCCATGGCCATAGGCGAAATAAAAATGAGTGTTTTGACGGTAATGCATTTAAATTGTTGTCTTCACTAGTTTATTTTAGTGCAAAGAATCACTTTTCAAATAAATAAAAAAAATTCATGGCCAATTGAAACGCGCGCGTCGACCTCTGTGTATGCTGGTTATTGCTGTTTTATCATTTCTAAAAGATAACAACGGTTTGATAAAGAAACAACAAAATGCATGGTTGTGCTGTCTTTTCATTGCATTCAGCGGCTGGTTTATCTCGGTGAACTAATCCGTAATTGTCTGTTTATAAATTCATTATGGGAGTATCAGGGACTAAGAACCGAGTTTGAGATTGAAATCACAAATTTTATACATTATCAAAACCTCGCAACATGCCATAAATTATATTATTACCCCGTAAGAAAAGTTAATGCTCTTTTTGTTTTTATAGGTATAGACATTGGCCTTGTCCCCAACACGTGACTCGGAGTTAACGTTCCCCATTATATCTGAAAATAATCCGTATTCTTGCCTACCGCACAGCCAAATGTATGCCTATGATAATAGTTGCTGCAGGGTAGTTTTAGGTGCACAGAGCATCCCATGCGTGTATTGTTGTAAATGTTTAAACTAAACCGGATTTCACTGCTTTATTTATACATCCTTCTCAGGGAAACAGGCTATCCATTGGCAACATTTTTTTTCTCGGTTATATGCAGAGAATGTATGATATATTCTAAACATTTTATTCGCCGTCCCTTGTCTTTATGCGAGTCTTTTCAAACGTGAGAAGAGTAATTTGTATATATTTTTGAAATGTCAAAAAAGAAGAATGAAAAATATGCAACGTATTACACACCTAAAAGTATATACAGGTTAAAAATATTAAAAGAACATGTGATTTGAAACAATATAAGAAACATAAAGGTAAGAGTCGAAACTTCTGGTCACCGTATGAACTCAATTAATGGACAATGGCCTATACACCGTTTTTTAATCGGCCGGTATATAGGGAATTAAGAACATTGACATGAGACACTTATGACTTTTCAATCAATTACAAAAAAAAAAAAAAAATGATATATGGATTTCAAAGAGACGAAACTTCATAAAGCGATTGAAAATAACAACAACAAAAAGTCAAAGAAGAATTGCTTTCAATGCTGACATCTCTGCCATCTATTTTACATAAGGGACACGTTCGTCTCGAACATATTCCATATTGAACTCGTTCTTGTCACAAGCGTTATTCTTCAAACCAATAACAACATGAAATTAAAGCTAGGAGTTCTTCTATTTCCGATTGAATAAGAATAACAACTGAAATAGTTTACATTAAGATAGCAATATAATGGAACATTGACAACTTTGTCATGGAATAGAAGTTTCTTATAATATTACTAGTAGTTCCTAATAGAAGAAATAGTCTGGAATATTATTTCCAACCCGGAAGAAATATTCTGGAATATTATTTCCACTGGAAGAAATATATCAGTATTTGTTTCATACGGATTAATGGGTAATTATTATTTCTTCCAACATGATCAAATATTGCTGTTCAGGATCATGATCAGGATTTTCTACCACAAGAATAGATTACCTTTATAGCAGTATTAGGCAAAACCTTTCGGAATTTGTGGTCCTCAATGCTCTTCAGCTTAGTCATTTATTTGGCCTTTTTCAAAATTTGTTTTGATTCGAGCGTCACTGACGAGTCGTTTGGAGATGAAATGCGCATCTGGCGTACAGAATATTTAGCCTGGTATCTATGATGACTTTATAATGTTGCAGCGTTTATAACTGGTAAAAGGAACGAATCTAAATGGACAATATAATTACCTTTCTAAAGGCCCATCAAAATGCATAAAAGCTTGTTCATTAATAAAGTTTGTGTCCAGTCTTTTACTCTATGGAACAACGCAGTTGGTTTTAATTTTGCTATGAGACCAAATACTGTAAATTATGGTCGATTTTGTTGTTGAAATAGTTGAAGTACTCTAGTCAAAACGTTTTTCAATCTTGTAAAATTAAATAATCTTCTAAAGGACCGTAAAACACTGATAGGAGTCTTAGTAATCCACCATTTTCTACATAAGGAAATGCCTGTACCAAGTCAGGAATATGACAGTTGTTTTCCATTCGTCGGATGTGTAGGGACTTTCCGTTTTGAACTTTCCTTGGAGTTCGGTATTTTTGTTATTTTACTTATTAGTGTTACGCTACTCACCCGAATAAACCCCCCCCCCCCCCCCCCCCCCCCCAGCATATGTCCTGGAAGAGTAAGCGTAATAAGGAATGATGCTTAATCTACATGTTTTACATAATTCTTCAGATATATTGACAGTCAAAATATGTCTACCTTTTTGTCCTATCACACGCAACCACTCTTTTCATTTCATGTACATTCCAACTCATGTATTATATATCCAACGCCTTTTGTGCTGTTGTTGGACCAACAAACAATCAAACGAAATGAGACTACAAAACGTACGTGCAGACAAGCTATCATCTCATCTTTGTATACACTATTTTTAAAATAGTACAAAACCAACACCTGTCAGGTAAAATTGAATCAGAATCATTTTAATAGGAAGATAGTTGCTTTAGGTGAACGCAAATTGTAGATAGTAATGTATAATCCCATAAACGTCATCATAACACAAGACAAAATGTGACGACCAATGCCTTTGGTGAAATCAAGCATATTTTTATGATATGATTGAGATATTATAGCTATAATATAGACGCATTTAACAGACCATCTACATTTCATGGATGCAAGTAGGGGCGAAAGTGTGAAGAAGAATGAGGAGTTGTCGCCGAACTACCTTTATTAAAATCATCATCCTAATTAAATCTTGGAAATAAAACCGATATCAATATATTGCTGATTATCAATTCCAGTTCATTGTTCAATATCTTAACCTACAATACCACCCACGTCAACGTGTTTGTCATTTAAAAGAAAATTAGAAGTTGCTTGCACACTCCCGTTATTTGGAGCCGGTTCTATGCCAAGTAGTTTACATATCATAGGATAAATATCTATATTTCTGATGGTAGGTGCAACATGGTTTTCTGTTATGTTTGGTCCTCTTGCAATAAATATTGGTTTCATGCTTAGTAACTTGTTATCATACCCATGAGCACCAGATCCGCCGTAATATATGGCTAATTCTGTTTTATTCTGTAAATAAATGATAAAAAGTTAATTGTCATGCGAACTTGTTTATCTGATTAAGTCAAAAGGTGTCACATGTGGAGCATGATGTGCTAACACTTCCGAAGCACTTGCGATCACCCCATAATTTTGCGGTGTTTAGTGAACTTGTTTATCTTTTCGTCGGTTTTCGTTGTTTTACTTTGCAATGTCAGATTCTCCTAGATTTACAAGTTTTAAAAATCTTTCTTATATCTACCACCTCTTTTTGTAAGTATGCTTATTGGTTCAAATAAAATAAAATATCCGTGATAGTAAAAGAATCGCAGTCAAAGACAACTGGTAAAAACAAAGAAATAACTGTTTTACACGTAAATAACAAGTTTTCATTAAAAATTGTCGTGTATATATATGTTCTACTAAAATTGATCTTTTTTAAGTATGGCTTATTGGTTTTTGATATTTCTCAATGGGGTATATGTTGGGTTTCCAAGTGAATTGTCAATAAGTCATTTCCTTAATCTTAATCTTAATCTTGTCAGAATCTTAGATTTCAAAGACAAAAACAAAATCTATCAACTGGTTATGTATCAAAATAGTCCTAAGTGTTGTTTTTTTTGGGTTAGTTTGCTGTGTTTGAAGCAATATTTTGGACTAATTTTAATCGTGAACGCTCAGACAGCTCCAAAAGTGTTTTCAGAATTGAATGTTTTATTATGTTGATAATCAAACTTACCGTTGTTATTAACCACCCTCTTTCTGCCAAGAGGAAAATTGGCATAACACGTCTGTTGTTTTTAAAATGCCAGCGTTCTGGAATGTCTGCTTTTTTGTACGCGGTCATGTGACGTACGTTGTATAAACTTTGAATAACTTCATCTACTTTCCCGTCAACCGGCTGAATATGCATGACTGGTCCGCTCTCAACAGTGCGTCTTATATTTGTCATATTTACATAATTTCTTATGTCCAAAGCTTTATTTACATAGTCTATTTCTGTCATTCCGTGGTCACTTGTGACTATTAGGTTCACTTGACCCCATAAGTTTTGAGAATCAAATTTATCAAGAAGATATCCTATCGAATTATCCAACTCCTTCACTTTTTCCAGAATTTCATTTGAATATATTCCATATTTGTGACCAGTAGGATCCGGTTCTTGAAAATATAGGGCAACAAAGTCAATCTTCTTAACAGTTAACCAATCAATTGTTGCATCTATGCGATCTCTAAATTGAACAATTTTACTATACGGAAACCATATATTTGGTCTAAACCCCCTGATTTCTACATCCCCACCAGGCCATCCATATGAAGCACTGGTTAAATTTTGCCGACGTGCTGTTACCCAAATTGGTTCTGCTCCATTCCACCACCTTGGTTCCCTGGTGTAAAAGTCAAAAGAAGTATTGAAAACCGGATCGTACATAAAATTCCCTATGATACCATGACTTTCTTCAAAAAGACCTACAATAAAAAGGTCATAAAATAATCAAAACCTAAAAACATGTCAGAAAGATGATTTTCTGTAATAAAGTATATACCCGTTGTTGCTTTTATCGTTTGTTTGCTATATTTATTTGTCAGTTTATCATTTATATTATTTATGAACATATTTGTGGGCGCGCCAACCCTCTACTTAATTTGAGACAGTGGTGTAACATAGTCAACATAAGAAAAAACTATAAAAAGCAGCTTGAAAAGAATTGAATCATCAGATCGATACAAAGCATATAAAACAACTAACAAAAAAACAAAAAAGACACAAAGTACAGATCTGAGAGTACTCGCAGTTTCTGAAAGATAGTTCAAAGCCAATAACAACTAATAATAAAATGATGTATCTTAGACCAAATATATTTGACTAGTTTTACGAATAACAGGCCACTACGTTTATTTAGATTTGGTTTATATCTAATTAAACTTACCAGTAGCAATGGAATAATGGCAAGGAAATGTCTCTGTAACAAAAGTATTGTCTATATATTCAATTTTTGTTCCATGTCTGGCAAGGCGATCAAAGTTAGGAGTAGGAACTCGATTCAGATAATCCCATCTAAATCCATCCATTGATACCAATAAAACTTGAATGGCACCAGCTCCACTAAATAATATGCTGAAAAGAAGTATAGTAACATCCATTTCAAAGTCGAGTCCGTTTAAGATAACAATTTCTTATCTAGTTTTTATACAACGACCTTAAACTGTATGCAGGTTTCAATTTAACTCTTTAAGATAACTTTCATGTCCTTTACAGGATACACTGTTATCATTGTTGTCACTCCATTACTAAATTCTCTAACATTTGGAACGTGTCTATAGCGAAAATAGCTGGATCCTCGTTTTTCTTCTTCTTCATAAAATAGAAACGAGAAGATATGGTGTCTTATCTCATGACAGTAAATCGTTTTAACCATATGAAAAAATAAAATGGACGCAAAAAAAAGGTGGTCAAAGTTTAGCTTTCAAATTAGAGCAAACATATATTGTAGATTGTAGAGCCATGTGAAAAAAATACAAACCAGTAACCAGTTCGTCGATTAAATCTTTCCAAATAATGGTCTACTTGCTGCTTGTGAAAGAATAAACCTGGCCGTTAGTTTTCTCTTTTGGGTTGTTTTTATTTGTCATTTCAGGGCCTTTTATAGCTTGATGTGCGATATGGGTTTGTTCATTGTCGCAGGCCGTAAGGTGACATATAGTTGCTAACTTCTACGTTATTTAGTCTCGTTGTCAATCATACCAAATCTTCCTATTTTCATACAGAAGAAAGAATATAACCGACTGCATTCTATTGTAAATCAAATAATTCTTCGTAGTATTCTAAAAATTATTTTCAGTTTAGAAATTGAAAAACAATCACAATCATAGTAATTTTACAACAAACAACAAACATTGATTATACGTTTATCATTTTAGGTCATACAACACATCACCGACGAAATGTATGATAGAATGGAATCTGGGTAAAGGCGTGTGACACAGCAGTAAAATGCATAAACTGGGAGTCATAGTTTTCACTTGTCTTCTACTGGTTATAGTGCCTTTCATAACGGGTGATGACGGTAAAAATACCGATACCCCAGAAAAAGAAACAAGACATGGGGATTCAGAACTGGAAACAAACGAAGATGTAGACGGGAAGGAAGTTGAAAAAGTAAACAAAAACAAAGATGTTTCCAATGCCGAAACTGATAGCAAATTCGATGAATCATCTTCAGAGAATTCTGATTCGAAGTCAGACGAAACAGAAAGGAGCGATAAAATAGACACTCATCCAATAACGAATACCGATGAAACGTCAAACATAAAGGGTACTGATTTCTTGTCAGTGCCAAAATCTTTATTTGTAACCGCGCCCTTAAATAGCAACATCTTTAGAAAGAATGTCGAAGACGACAGTTACGAAGATACAGATGTTACGGAAGCAGAAATAAGGGGCATCATAAACAATGTTGATTTATTGTTAGAACGTGATAATTTGAAAGGTGCATCTAAAAAAAGAGAAGAAAGCATCAAACATAAGATAACCACCGACGTTGACGGTAGTAGTCATTCTAAAGTAAGCTCTCTATCAAAAGACGATAAACTGACTTCGTCTCGAAAGAATACGATAAATGGAATTACAAACGAAATGGACGAATTTTCTGATACTGAGCTGTTGTCTCTCTTGGAAAACTTGAGTAAATACGACGATTCAGAAATTCAAATGATAGATGGAAAGGAGTTGATGAATGTGAAAGACACGAAAAAGCAGCATGCTTCAACAGAGCGCAACGACGAAAGTGAAACCGACCTGAAAGGTTTAGAAGAGAAAGTTAAAGGAGGGCAAACATTTATTGAAAAGGAAGCAAAAATCAAGTTTACAAATAGAAATAATGAAAATAAAGATAACAGGAATTACTTCAAAGTATTTAATCATATGAATATGAATGACAATATCTCCGAGACAACAAAATATGAAGGAAATAAACCGTTCAAACTGACACAAAAGAAAAACGATGATAAAAAGAAGGAATCACATCTTGTAGGGTCAAATAATCAAATGATTAGTTCTTCAGTTTTAGATTTGAAAGCTGTAGGAAATAAATATAGATATAATGTCAAAACAGGTCAGGATAAAGCAGTTAAAACTTTAAGGGCAGGTGTTTATCTTGATAGTAGGAAAGAAATTGAAAATGAAGATAGTTCGAGGTTTTTAAAATCTAAAGATACAATTCAGAGCAGGTTTACCGGAAAGGAATCTGTCTCCAATCAAGATGAATCAGAGGAAAGCAAAAGTCAAGAAAATATCAATATTGAGGCTTCTTCCACACATAGTACAACAGAAGACGTTCGTCAAGATATTCCCGACGTTTATGGTTCATCTAAACATGGGACCGATGAAGACTCTAGTAAATATAATATAGACAAAAAGGCTTTTTTAAACCGAAAAACAGAGGCAGACTCAAGTCAAATGATTATCAACGTCGAAGATTCACCCATGCATGGGAAAGAAAAGGAGGTTATACAAGAAGATAATACTGACGTTAACGATCCCAAAAAACAAAAGAAAAATGATGGAGGCTTTAGGCAAATGAACATCGACATCAACAGCCCATCTAAACAAGGAAAAATTGAAGGTATTAGTCAAGGAAATAACTACTCAAAGAATCCTCCTAAAGATGAGACAGAAGAAAGGAGAAGTATGAAAAATATAGACGTCAAACAATCAGCTAAAGATGAGACAGAGGAAAGCAGAAGTGATGAGAATATAGACGTCAAACAATCAGCTAAAGATAAGACAGAGGAAAACAGAAGTGAGCAGAATTTAGACGTCAAACAATCAGCTAAAGATGAGACAGCGGAAAGCAGACGTGATGAGAATATAGACGTCAAACAATCAGCTAAAGATAAGACAGAGGAAAGCAGAAGTGAGGAGAATATAGACGTCAAACAATCAGCTGAAGATGAGACAGAGGAAAGCAGAAGTGATGAGAATATAGACGTCAAACAATCAGCTAAAGATAAGACAGAGGAAAGCAGAAGTGAGGAGAATATAGACGTCAAACAATCAGCTAAAGATGAGACAGAGGAAAGCAGAAGTTCGGAAAATATAGATGTCAAACAATCAGCTAAAGATGGAACTCGGGAACATCTTATTCGATTGAATACAGAGGTCAATACTCCTTCTAAAACTGCAACCGACGAAGATAATGAGCAAGATGATTTCAACATTAATCCATCTGAATATGGAACAAAGGTCATAATGGATGAAGAAATTAGTAAATCTAAGATTTCAGTTGAACATTTGAATGACAAAAAGGCTACTAATGAAAACATGGAAATTAGGGACCCATCTGAGCATCCAGAAGATAATCAACAGAGTAAGACAATTACTGAAGTTTTGAAAGGAAAACAGAATAGTATGAAAAATAGTGAAATCAAGGATACATCTGAGCAGACAACAGACAAGAATGTTGATAAAACAAGTATCAACGTTAACTATCCATCTGATAAATCTGAAGAGGACACGAAAGTTGATAGTATTTACGTTAAAGATTTATTTAAACATCCAACAGAGAAGAACGTGAGTCAAGAAAATATCAACGCTAATGATCCAGTTGAACATACGTCTGTCATACATATAAGTCCAATTAATGACGTTAAAAATGGGTTTGAAAATCGGGAAGAAGACGACTATAGTCAGAAAACCTCCGAAGAAGAAGAAGATTCACTGTATATTTCTACTGATGATCTCAGTAAGGAAAATGTCAAAACTGGCGACCTCTTTAAAGACACGAAAGAGGAACAAGTTGTAGAAAAAGAACAGCCTGTAAAACCGATTATTAAGCTTCCAACAGTACCTCTGTTCGAAAACGATGATTTGCGAATTCAAAAGAAAAATAAGATGACAGCTGGATCTTTATATTTAGACGATGATGACGAATCAGAAAGAACAAACAATAATTTGAAGTTGAAGAATGAAGATCGAAATAGTTTAAATAACCCACCAGTCATAGGAAGAAATAATTTGAATACTGCTTCAAATGTTATTGACATGTCAGTGGAAAACTCCGTTAAGACCAGAAGACTGTTGGCTCAGTTGGACGACAAATCCGATTCTACCGATGACGGTTCAGAGGCTTCAGAGATGGCAGAAACATTTTTGGATGGACTTATTTCAAATTTACCCAATTCTACAGAAATACCAGTAGACGAAAATATATTTGAAACTTCTACTCCATCGGGAACCCCAGAAGACACGACTGTAATTGCAGATTTCACTCCAGCTGATTTGGCTTGTCTGTCAAATCCTTGTGTGAACGGTACCTGTAAAGATATTTCATCAGGAAGATATATTTGCCTTTGTGATGTTGGATTCACAGGTATGATTCAAAGCTTTTTGGTATTATAACATTTTTTACCTTTTCTTCTAAAGAAATCTTAGTGGTAACAGATAAAAAAAATAACAGATTTCAATCTTTTAAAGACATATGAGTGAGAGACAAAAAATAAAATATAAAACGTACGTTTTCTTAAAGGCTGGGCAATTTCGGTAATTGCCAATATATTGGTACCAGCAAAATTATTATGTAGAAACACCCCAATACATAGAATACGTCAAACTTGTGCAGCAATTTTTGACAATTTAGCAACGCTGTAAAATATTTAATTAAACTAGAGTGTTATCGATGTTCAGTTGACATCTAGAAAGTCCTGGAATATAAAAGACAAAAGTGGCGATGAAACAATTTGTAAGGAATGCATTTGAACCAGATCCAGACCAAACCATTACTTCTTTAATCTGCATCATCTTTATACTTTGTTTTCAATAATCGAACTGTAACATTTTTATTTGAAGACATTATTCGCAATGCATTATTTATTATTTCCTGCATTTTTTACAACAAATCCGTCTTTATATTAAAACTATACTCCTCTCTTAAAAAAATAAATCAGATTAAACACTCTGTTGATCTAAACAGATATATTATCATAATTTGTTGAATATGCATGAAACATTTGCCACTGAATGTTAAGTTTTATGTAGACATTTGTCTTTCAAATTTCCAGTCATGATTTTTAAATAACAGCATTACATGAAATTGTTTAAATGCATTATATAGTTATGTATAAAAATGAGGAGATGTGGTATGATTGCCAATGAGACAACTATCACAAACGTTCAAATGAAGTGGATGTAAGCAACTATAGGCAACAGTACGGCCTTTAACAATGAAAAAAAATAATATCGTATAGTCGGATAGTTATTTGAACAAATGTTAATGTGATGTTATTTTTTTAAAGGAAACAACTGTGAAGACGCCATAGATCCATGTATAGTGAACCCCTGTCCACTTGGTGCAACGTGTTTACCAGATGGTGCCTCACGAATCTGTGTATGTCAAGATGGGCTCAAAGGTCCAAATTGCGAACAAGGTAGGGCACTACAGCGAGAACAACTGCAAATATAGAAATTTATTGTTTTGTACATACATTAGGCTGTTGGTTTTCTTTCTCGTTTGAATTGTTTCACATTATGTCATGTCGGGGCGTTTTATAGCTTGCTATGCAGCATAGGCTTAAAATTATTGTTGAAGCCAGAACAGTGACCTTGAGGTACACACATCTACGTCATTTGGCCTCTGGTGGATAATTGTCTCATTGTCAAATATATTAAATCTTATTGTTTTCGTAAAACATTCTGCACGAGCGAGTTGTCAAGTAAAGTACATCTGATAAAAAATATAATAAAAAAGAAAATTGATCAAACCGATAGAAAGGGCGGAAGAAGAGTTTATTGTGATTTTCTGTCTAAACGTGTTTTGTTTGATTGTTTATTTGTGTGTTTTCTGTTTTGTTTTCTGTACAATTGACCAAATTTGAATAATGGAGCAAAATGAGTTGAATCATATTTTTACGCATATATACATTGCCCGCTTCAGTCTAGAAGTTCCAAATCAACAAAATAGTCACTTATTCATCGTGATTCAATTTAGTGTACTTTTTTTTTCTCTTCACATACAAAATATAACATATAAAATATAAAAAATTTAGTTTCTTCCTGCATCTTTCTTTGAGTTTATCAAAATAAACATTTTTTTCTTTAAATTTAGATGATGTCCTCGTTGTGTGTAATGACTTGACAATTGAGCACAATCTGAAAGTAGACAATGTAATAAAATGTACTAAGACTGTTAATTCTACTCCTGATGATCTGTGTTATGACCCGGATGATACTATTAAATACGAAGTCATTATTACTGATGGAGCATTTTCTGGATATATTGATAACAATCTAACTGTGGCTTGTTTGAAGGTTAATCCTAAGATAGTATCACTACCAGAGTACTGTGTAAGTTTTTTGGAAATCTTTATTAAATATTTTATACATTTATATACGATATAACACATGACTATTGACAAACAATGATCAACTACATATCATCATATATCATCAATACACAATAAGGTCATTTCATTTTGAATACAATAACACCTTCAGTTTCTTGAACAAGTAAATTTCCCATAAAAAGTGTTTTTTTTTAAAACATTTCTCATACATTTTGCACTGCACAAATATTCATAATATTAAGTTATATAATGTTTTAAAGATTATTTAAATAGTCTGATAAGGTCAACATTACTTAAAAAAAAATAAGAAGATGTGGTATGATTGCCAATGAGACAGCTCTCCACCATAGACCAGATGACATTGAAGTTAACAACTGTAGGTCACCGTACGACCTCCAACTATGAACAAAACCAATACCGCATACTTAGTAGTCAGCTATAAAAGAACCCTTAATGACAAATGTTAAACAATTTAAACGAGAAAACTAACGGCTTGATTAATGTACAAAACAATGAACGAAAAAAACATATGATATACAGCAACAAACGACAACCACTGAATGACAGGCTCTTGACTTAGGAAAGGCACATACAGAATGTGGCGTGATTAAACTAGCTTGCAGGCGTCAATTCCTCCCCATAACGCTGTCTTAGTAAATTCCTTCTTCTGAAGATACAATATATCGCTATAGATAACATGCAATTTACAAATCCGAGAGACGGATTATAAAAGTTTTTCCAAACTTGTTTCCGAATCCCATATCTGAATTTTATGTAAAATTGTACTACTTCATTGTTATAATTTTTCGTTAATAAATACTTTTTGAACTAAGTTTACAAGTAGTAAAAATACAATAATATGGTTTTTTGAAATCAAGATCCATTAATATAGATGGTTTCCAGTAAAAGTTGACATTGTTACACTCTTTACAAAGATCGTTTCCAGACCAGTCCGGAATATGTTATCTTAATGTCGATACAGTATTCGTATGGTTTTTCCTCATTGGCGAAACTCTTTTTTTACAGTGATATAGACTGCACTTTTAATTTCGCTCAATGTATTTTATACAGTCAGACCTTAATAATATTCAAAGAAGCTTGTCCAATGAGAGCATATAAAATAATGCCACATATTTCAATAATAGTCATTCAAAATTTTCCACACTTTAAGTATACACCATATGTAAGGAATAAACTCTATGACAATTAAATGTTGCGTAGCAAGCGTCCCAAACGCTTTCGTAAAAACTTGAAATGTTATAAATGTAAATTTTAGATAAATGTGACAGCATCAGAGCAGGATGATAGAATACACCGACCTTGGAGAAAAGCGACATCTACAGTGTGCATCACATTTAACAAACCTCCAGAATTCTCACCTATATCCCCTGTAACTGTCAACATCAGAGATGTACAAATAGGGGATCCTCTGATGGTTGTGGACACAGTTGATAACTTAAGTTTAGACAATCCTTTATATAGCATCGAAGGTAAATCAACCCATTCTTTCTTTTTCTTCTTATTTTTTCTTCTGTTACAATGTTTAATGTACTCGTTCATTGATTGTTTTTACATGTTTATATTAATGGGAATACATGCAAATATATCAAAAGAAATATGAATACATTATTGAATTGATCCCAGATAAATAAAATTGTTTATATCAAGGTCACTGGTGCCAATTCCATTGTTGGTTAGTAATATTGTGCCTCCAATTTTTGTCATTTTGTTATAGATGTTTATCCAGACGTATACAAATCAAACTTTAGAATATCAAGAACTGGGGAAATATCCTTTGTGTCGATTCCAGATACAATACCAAATGACAGTCTGAATCTTCTTATTCGTGTAAAGGTAACGCATTTTATTTCTCTTTAATGTTAAATGGTTTATTTTGTTCATTCTAATACTAGTATTACATTCAGGCTTTTAATCACCCTAGATTACGATAACATTATTAGACATGAAGCTTTTAATTCATGTTTGCTTCAAATTAATAAGCTAGTAACCGATAACCGTTTATGATTATGACACATAAGGAAAAAACTATTTGATCTATCATTTCAGTATCTTTCCTTTATTTTCAGGTGAACGATAATGGCATTCCACCACTTGAAGCGGAAGCAACAGTTAACATTACTCTTGTAGACATTGATTTACAATGTAACTTCCCTAAAGAGATATATCTTGGAATTTCCTCCAATACTACTATTCTTGGTGTAATTAGATGTACAGGCGCAACACGTTTGACATACCAATTTATCCCTAGTCCTGGTATGATATTTTCTTATATTTAAGAGATAGTAATTTGTCATGTTAGACAGTAACCATAAGTTTCAGTAAAAGATCAGAGCAAAAGCATTTTTTTTAAATATGAATAAGATTCAGGACCAAATGTTGTACAGTTCACGTGCCTTTTTTAAAATGCAATTGTGATATTCTAAAGAGTTAAAAATCTATTCCGAACAAGACAAAATAGTCCGGGGGAAAGTGAATGTAAAAATCTATACCAGGTTTTATCGTCTGAACATGGATGCTGACAGGGTCAGTTTATTTAAGTCATATATACCTTTGGTATGCTTTCTTACAGTATGGCATTCAAAATGATTCGTCAAAAATTTGAAAATTCTCACAAGTCCAGATTTAAAACAAACAAGATTGGAAGGAAAATGATTGGAATCTCATTAACTTCAGTCGGAGGGAGACCAGGTTCTTCAACAAAGTTATCGTATCCTGATTCAAACGTTACAACATTCTATTAAAAGTTACATCCAATGATAGCTTTTAAAGCCTGAAGCTTGACAAAGTGATAAGGGATGTATGACAGATTTGTTATACTAGTACTGTCAAACATTTTACTCTATTGTGGACTATAGACGTTTCAGTGTAGTCATTGAAAGACAAACCAACAATTAGAATAATTTGAAGTATCACATCTAAATTCTCTTCAGTCACCATCATAAGTTGATGATTGGTCTCAGTTTTTCAAAATGCTATTGCTATTTTACCTCTATCATAGATCCTACATGCCTACTTTGCCAATCCTTTATAATAAGCAGTTATCTCTTGTTCCTAGCTTTGACTTTACTTCTAGATAAAGAAATGCAACAGTAGTATACCGGTGTTCAAAAGTCATAAATCGATTGAAGGAAAACAAATCCGGGTTACAAACTAAAACCGAGGGAAACACATCAACTATAAGAGGAAAACAAAGGAACAACAGGAACACTGAAGTGCAACAAAAACAAACGCCAACATACATAGAAACGAACTATTTGATAACACTTGCCATATTCCTGACTTGGTACAGGACATTTTAAGAAAAAAAAAATGGTGGGTTGAACCTGGTTTTATGGCTAGCCAAACCTCCCGCTGATATGACAATGTTAAAAAATAACGATTGACTTTTGAATTGTGTCAAGGATAATGCAAGTATTGCATGAGATGGTATATAAACCGACGCTCCTTATTCTGCTTCGTATAGAGTTCGACGACTTACCGATTGTTTTCAGTTCCCATTGTATGCCTATTAGATACCTGTTATATTAACTTAAAATGGTTATGTATCTCTCTGAACCAGTGTATCAAGTTAATGAAAGGGGTTTCCCTAATATTTTCAAATCAAATCCAGCCTTCGCCGAAAGTCGCTACATGGCGATCCTAATTCCGTTTTCGTTAACATTTAGGTTCAGTCTGTATGTGATTAAAGTGTTTAGACATCAAGAACTTTGAATTTTGTGATTCCTTGTCATATAGCGCCTCAATTGTTTTAGTACTTATACATCCTTGGCTTTCAAATAATTGGGTTTGACCGTTCATGATTAAGGTAAATTCAGATAAGAGCATCGGATGCACAAAATTTGCAAAGTGTTATTTTCGAACAAGGGCTTCCTCATAATTCTCTTTTCTTTCTCACGTATTTTACTCACATATATATATATAAATTTAATTTGTTTTGTAGTAAACATTAAGACATAGTCCTTGTGTAGTTTTCAGACCTCAAAACTTTGTAAAAGAGGGGCGAAAGATACCAGAGGGACATTCAAACTCATAAATAGAAAATAAACCGACAACGCCATGGCTAAAAAAGAAAAAGACAAACAGACAAACAATAGTACACAAAACACAACATAGAAAACTAAAGACTACGCAACACGAACCCCACCAAAAAATCTTCATGGACTTTTAGAAAACTTGGACATAAGCTTCTTCATTCGAAGATCTATAAATTGCATTTGATGGAAGGTTTTGATTTTTTTTACTTTTCCTTATTTTAAATCAAGAGATACATTCTGGATTAATTTATTTATCACCCCTGCCTATTGTTTCGATTTTTACCATCAATTTTTTATTGTGCAGTCAACATTTAGGAACAGTCTTTTGTGAAAACTTGAATTACTTTGTCAAACCTTCAAAGTGAGAATTAAATAAAGGCAACTGTAGTATACCGCTGTTCAATAGTCATAATTCGATTAAGCAAAAACAAATCCGGGTAACAAACTAAAACCGAGGGAAACACATCAACTATAAGAGGAAAACAACGGAACAACAGAAACACTGAAATACAACAAAAGCAAACACCCACATACATAGAAACGGACTGTAGATAACAACTGCCATATTCCTGACTTGGTACAGGACATTTTAAGAAAAATGGTGGGTTGAACCTGGTTTTATGGCTAGCCAAACCTCCCGCTTATATGGCAATGTTAAAAATACCGCTAAAATGACAACACTACGGACAAAAGTCATCAAGGGATTTCAGGAATAGAATACCTTTGATGTATTTGGCAAAACTTTCGAATTTTTTGGCCCTCAATGCTCTTCAACTTCGTTCTTTATTTGTCTTTTTAACATTTTTTATTCGAACGTCACTGATGAGTCTTTTGTAGACGAAATGCATCTCTGGCGTACAAAATTATAAGCCTGGTTTCTTTGAAAAGATTTTTTTACACAGAAAACTTAATAGTAAGGAAATATGAATAGTACTTCTGAAAATAAAGTGTTCTACTTTCAGTAATTTTATTTTATTACAAAATTACTCTACTAACATATTTTACAGGTCTTCCACTAATATTTGGTGCCCAGGGTACAATAGTTGTGACGAGAGGATCAAAAATAGATTTACAAGCCGGAGACTATAATGTCAGTGTACAAATACGTGCTAGTACTGTTGCTTCATTCACTCTAGATTTTATTGTACACGTTGGTACGTATGTTTAATTTTTCTTTTTAAAGCTATTTTCCTAATGCTTGTAGTTTAAAAGTTTGAATGGCTTGCTTGTTTTGTTTGTATAAATGTTTGGGCTAGCATTGTAATTAAGATTGACATCTGCAATCAATAGATAGGCGGGGCTTCAGCTTGCATACATTATACTTATAAATGTTATTGGATGTTAAGTATAATGTATACAAGTTGATGCCCCGCCTATCTATTGATTGCAGATGTCAATCTTAATTACAATACTTGAGCAAACATTTATACAAACAAAGCAATCAAGCCAACCAAACCTTTAAACTACAAGCATTAGGAAAATAGCTATTATTGTTTTTACAACCTATCAATTTGTAATTCAGTACAGCTTTAATCTAGATAAAATATTTTCACGATATTCCAGCATCTCAAGAGATTTATTGTAATATTTGTATATTATTTCCTACTATTTTTAAAGATGTTAGCGTGAATGGAGATACCATTAGTAAATACCAGACGAATTTAACCAAACAAAAAATCTAAGAAAAAGGCTATTGAAAATTACTCGCAAAATGTTTGTACCAAACCAGGAATATGTCAGTTGTTATCCATTTTTTCCGTTGGTTTATAAAGTCTAACGATTGATTTTGTCAGTTTTCATTGACTTCCCCTTTTTTAATTTACCTTGGAGTTCTGTATTTTTGTTATACTTTATACTACAATTTCAGATTACTACGAACCTTCCTGTTTCAACCTGTCTCCAGAGGTGATGATACACAAGAGTACTCCTCCTGGGAATTGTTTTCCAGTGTCCTTTTGTAATGAGACACAAAATGGCAACATTCGATGTGGTAAAAGCCTGTCTGGGCAATTGGCTCCTTATCTTAGTCCTAGTTGTACTATGGCTGCATCTGAAATTACTATGAAGATTTGTGTCGACACATATTTACAGAATGTTAATGTTAAATACGATGTAAGTCAAGCTTTATATGCGAATACCAAGTTACCATGCGTTTAGAATCAGCATTTCAAGTTGTTTGCCAATCAGCAATGAGCACACGTTGCAGTGCTGTACTATTTTAATTAAACTCAAGTAGATATTTGTTGGATAGGACGTCATGGTTGGTTTTACGTGGACACCTGTTAAACAATACACAGACGATGAAAATTCATTAAATCTTATCCCGACTCGAACTGTATTTAGACATGACAGAAGAAAACCACAAATAATAAAATTATTTTCGACAATTTGTTTTGCAACAGAAAAGTAACTGAAAGTGGTGAAAGAATTTTATGCGACTGTCATACAAGTGAGAGGTTTACCTAGCAATAAAACAAGGTTTAATCCACCATTTTCTACATAAGGAAATGCCTTTACCAAGTCAGGAATATGACAGTTGTTTTCCATTCGTTTGATGTGTTTGGGCTTTTGATTTTGACATTTAATAAGGGACTTTCCGTTTTGAATTTTCCTTGGAGTTCGGTATTTTTGTTTTTTTACTTTTTATTTTATATATCTTAATTAGCGGTGTGTACGTAGAGAAGTATAAGGAAAAGAAATGTAATGCGATCGATGTTCAAATATGTGAATTTTCATTATAAGGTAACTGGAACTGTGGAGAATGATTTTGGGGTAACTGACATTGTAACAACTGTGAATATATTCAACAATCCGCCTGTTATACTGAATGTGCCATTGACAGCCAACGTCTCAGAAGATGCACAAACCGGCCGTGGGGTGTTAACAATTGAGGTGGAAGATGATTTCCCTCCTCCGATAATTCAGCTTTTAGGTGAGTTAAACATGTCCATTTGTTGACTTCAAAACCATTTATAGCATCAGAATGATGTTTTATACATCGTCCAAATACAGTGTCCTGGTCAGGATTTATGCATGCATAGCATGAGAAGCAGCTTATCATTTTGGTGCATTCAGTCTCGCTCCTTTTCATCATTTCATGCGATTCCCTCTGTGTGTTTTACATTGACTTTTAGCTTCTTCTTCTAGTTAGTTCATCTCTCAGGTATTTGAGTATTGCGAATTTTCCGCGAGTGACGGCAAGGGTTACGACTGTACACTTAGAAGAGGTTTGTATTGACAATTTTATAAAAACCAATTACAAAGCCTTCTGCATCTACTCCACAGTCTGAACCCCAACCTTAAATTCCCTAAGTGAGGGATAAACAGCTAGCTATAGGGTATCTGATATGGTATTCGAAATTGGATAAACGAAGGGAAGGAGAAATGGATTTTTGGTTTTATGAGATTTGAACTTCGGTAAACTATTGTTGCCTATACTTTATCTCAGATGAAATATTTTCAAGGGATATCATTATTATACCATGTTTATACAAAACAGAGTTTTCGGTTGATTATTTCTTTAGTGGTTTATTTGGTTTTTAAGTCGTTTAAACCACTGATTACGCATCCTTAATAGTGCTCCAAAAATGATTATATTGACAGAAACATCGATATTTACTGTTAATTCCATATATTTTAATTTTCATTGAATCGACAGGTCCATCCATACCTTTTCGACTGAACGGAACAGACATTTTTGTATCTGGAAAACTTGATTTTGAAATTTCGAACAGTTACGACCTCACCATTCTGGTAAGTTGGAATGTTACTTGGTATACAAAATAAAAATAAATAATCATGATACAAAATGATATAAATATATCTCTGTTATGTTATATTGTATACAGTCTGTTGTTATAAAAGAACCCGGCTCAACCCGCATGTGGTTACAGTACGTTTGGCCTGAATCAATCACTTACGACCTTTGAAGTAATAATGTGCATGAGTAACATTGTTCATATAAAACCGAATCTGCATGTGAAAGTTTGGTATAGAAAATAGTTAAGGTTATATACCATGAATACCAAGGTCAAACCTGTCCATTAGTTGGAATGCTATTTGATATGCTCAATAAATATAAATAAGTGTGATATAAAAGAATGAAATTATCTCTGCTGTATATGCATACAGTCTAGTGTTATAAAAGAACCCACATATGCTTACAGTTTGACCTTACGACCTTTAACTTGGGTAATCTTATGTGCATGAATAACATTGTTCATATAAAACCGAATCTGCATGTGAAAGTTATGTATGGAAAATGACTGAGGTTATATACCATTGTAGACCAAGGTCATATCTGTCGATAAGTTGGAATGTCATTTGATATGCACAATAAAGATAAATAATTGTGATACTGTACAAAAGAATAAAGATATATCTCTGTTGTATATGCATACAGTCTAGCTTTATAAAAGAACCCGCATATGCTAACAGTTTGGCCTGAATCAATCAATTACGACCTTAAGTAATCTAACTGGCATGAGTAACATTGTTCATATAAAACCGAATCTGCATGTGAAAGTTATGTATGGAAAATGGCTGAGGTTACATACCATGAATACCAAGGTCAAACCTGTCCATAAGTTGGAATGTCATTTTATATGCACAATAAAGATAACTGAATAATTGTGATACAAAAGAATAAAGTTATATCTCTGTTATATATACATACAGTCTAGCGTTATAAAAGAACCCGCACATGCTTACAGTTTGGCCTGAATCAATCATTAACGATCTTTAAAGTAATATAAGGCATGTGCATGTAACATTGTTCATATAAAACCGAATCTGGAGGTGAAGTAAAGTTCTGTATGGAAATTGGCTTATACTATCATACCATGCATTCCAAAGCCAAACATGTAACCTTTCTAATGGTAGCTCCCAAGGGGTTAAATGTATGGAACATTGCCAAAAGTAAAATGTCTGTATGGTACATGGTTTTTACTAATTTACAAATTGTGACCTCGACAAATTCATGAATTAACCCAGAAGTGAAATTTCTGTTTATAAATTGAAAGGTTATAAATTATACGGTATACAAAATTACACTGAGTACTTACCAATATGAAAAATATGGAACATGATTCGGCAAAATTATCAGGCTATAAAAGTCTTGATGGGATGATGGTGGATCGGCTCAGGATTATGATAGAAGTGAAAGTTCTGTATGTAAATATATATTATGTTTCATGTGAAAATATTGTACGTTTAGAAGGATTATATTTGTTTTATGTATATTCCCCCTGGGGACCTAGTTTGGAAAAAATAAAATATCTTTTATCTTTAGTCTATCTACAAATATGAGAATGATAGAGTTACCCCTCTTTGTTCAAACTCTACTTCTAAAGTGTTATACAATCAATACAATAATTATATCTACCAAAACTGAAATTAATAATGACAAGTAGAACGTACTTAACCCACTAAATATGCAAAATGGGATTAAAAATAGAAAACAAATGAGACAAATTCATTTAGTTCAGTTCCGCGATAGATTTTTTACCTTGTCCGATCTTATTTTACACACGTCAATCACGTGATAACGTCAGAAACATCCAATTTCGTTGAGATCATCACAACGTCGTCTGCATATCAAGTTGAACTTACGGTTAAAGACACCTTACTGTAGTGTTAAATGTGGTCAAATAGTTTAAGGGACAAGGGATCCTGTTGGTGGCTAAATTAGTAAATTGCTCTGGACTGATCTCGCAGAATTTTAAATTGGAATATAATTTATCATATAAACACTGGAAGACTATCTCTCATTTGGGAAACTAGTTCTCAAATGTTGGACTCAGTCTGACAAAGTCGAGCTTGTCTTTCCCATTTGGTGGGTTGTCCCCAGCTTGATGAAGGTTCATGTGGACCTTATGGCTAAATTATAGACATCAAAATTTGCTCTGAATACAGACAACCTGTGCATCTGGAAAAGTTTTAAGGCGTAGCATGACCTAGAAAAACTAATTTCAAACGCATTTTATGTTTAAGAAAAATAAAAATTCAACTGGATTTTGCTGTGCACTTTTTTTCATCCCTGCAGAAGATGATAAAATAAGGCAGTGTCTGTGGGACCCTGTATGCGGGGACGAGTGGCCAGATTGGCATTCGTAGGCTACCATTATAAAAATAAGATGTAGTATATGATTGCCAATGTGACAACTGTCCACCAAATTTCAAATGAAGTGGATACCCGCTTCAGGTTTTATAATAAAATGTCATTGGATGGAGAATGAAACGTGAAATATACGAAGAAATTATCGCAATTAGTGATATATCTTGTCCATGTCAATCAATACAGTTCATTTCAATTATTATCTATGGGGAAATTCTCAAACCTCTTTCAAAACTTTATTTATTTTGGCACTTTAATTCTGTTAGGAATGAAAAAAAGTGTCATTGCATGGCCTTCATCAACGAGGAACCTTCAATGTTATAAACATTGCCATAATATCCTATTGGAACATATATTCTATAATCTTTATTCTGTCAGGAACAAATACTGAAATAATTTGTTCCAGAGGAAATAATATTACAGAATATATTCCATTTAGAACTGAGACATATTAAGAAGGAACTTCTATTTCATGACAAAGTGAGCTATAAATGGCCCTTCCCTGTATGTCAAAATATTTTGCTTTAAGCTTCAGGCATAAGTTTTTAAACAGGCAGATACTACAATGTACAATGTTTGACAATTATGAAATTATATCCATACAAAATATTCTAACTTCAGGCGACTTAAGTGATGATCTTTATATTTTACAGCAATGAAAACCGCTGTTATAGATACCAGCAATTAGATTTAGAATTTCTGTAATACATGAACATATATATTCTTTGAGTATAAATCTATAACTTTTTCTCCCAACAACAGGTAACAGACTCTGAAGGACTTTCTGTCACTGCTTTTCCCACTGTTAAAATCATTGATGTTAATGAGAAACCAGTTTGTCACTATGTCAATGGAACCTATATTATTAACATTGATGCATCTGAAACTCCTGGTACTACCATTGGCAAGTTAAATTGTACAGACCAAGACATTGGTGATCAGACTAAATATGAGATAGATGGCACCCAAGCTGTGTTAGGTATTATATAAATGTTAAAATCTTAATTACCTGTATACCTCATTGACATTAAGTTGAAACTTTATTGAATTTATTGTCTTAGTAGATATTGCATAGATAAATAGGTTTTATGCAGAGTTTGAATTAAATGTAAGCTGAATCTAATAGCCATGTTAAGTTTGTTTACTTTGTATGTATATAACTACAGAAATATTCAGAGTGAAAGACACTAATAACAACTCAAATTAATATAACATTGGTGTGCAAAAAGAAGGGTGGACCAAAAACTATAAAAGCTGACCATACAGATATGCATGTATGTATAAACCCCTCAAATTTTTAATTTGCGTGAAAAACAAAAATAGGGATTGTATGAGATACATTATTAAGTTCATGTTTAACTATAAAGTATTAAATGGCTTGATTGGAAAAAAAAGTGGTAACATGCATTTGTATACTAAATATCAAACATGGAACAGCCTATCAATCTTGTTGTATAATCAAGAAAGAATTTATATGTCATTTGGAGGAGGAATGTCTTGAATAAAATTTATGAAAAGTTGTTTTTTTTGGATACATGTGAAGGTTCTAGTTGCTTTTCATTATACAGTTTTAATTGTTTTGAACCACAAATCTGAAACCAATGTCCATTAGCTCATCAAAGACAGGAGATAATTAATTTGATATATAATTTGATTGTGGTTTAACTGTATTGGATAATGGGAAAACGTGATGCATATTTTTTTGAGAACCAAGATGTTATTACATGTAGTAAAAATTCTTTTCAGATACTTTTGAAATAGATGAAGTTAGTGGTGACCTCAGATTACGCAAACAACCAGAGGCTGGTAAAAACTTGTTTGAGTTCAATGTTAAAGTGACAGACAGGAGTGGACTGAAAACAAGTGTCAATGTCAAAGTTTATTTTAGTTGTAAGTACTTTTTTTTGTATGAAATAGTTGTGACATTTAAAAAGTCAAAAATATAATATATTATCTTACCTCCCCTATACATTTCTAGGAATATGATTGGTTAAAAGCAACCGCGTTGGGACCGTGTATATTTCATATGTGGTTAGTAGGCGTGGCTTATTTCAATACACGGTTAGTAGTGGTGTTACATCCCTTTAAAAAAACAACACAGTGTTGATGAAAAATCTGAAAGATTTCAACAGACCAAGAGATTGATGATGAACTATTGAAATAGATTCATAAAACACATTTTCAGCTTACAAGTTGTATTTGTTGGCATTTGTTTTTCTATAGACCAATGGAAGTAGGTTCTTAATACTAAGTATTGAAGATTTAATCACTTTGATACCAGGCCACTAATCTAAATACCACATGTTCAGATAGTCGGTAAGATAAATTTGTTACACAGTGTGCTAGTGACCTAATACGATATATATGGGGTTAGTAAATTCCATATGAGGATTCGAGCTTCGCTCTCACCCCATATGGAATTTACTGACCCCATATTTATCCTATTAGGTCACTAGCACACTATGTAACTAATAATACATAAAAAGGATTTTACCAAAATATACTTGACAGTACAACAAATCTACTCTAAAGTACATATTCATTGATATGCATATACAGTTTTTAACAAATAATTAGTAAAAGAAACCTTACAATCAATTTAAATGTATTATGACTTTATCTTGTGAAATTTGTAAGTGGTCTGTGTAGTGCTTTGTGGACTATTGTATGTCAGTTTCATCATTTTTCTTTGGGCCATTTTATTGTCTGTTTTTCTCTGATATGGTTTTAATTTCCCCTTGATTTTTTTCACTCTTATGTCATTTAAAGATGGTGATTATTATTAGGCACCAGCCATTTATCATGGGAGGGGGACTTTAATAACAAAAAAATTAAATTACAGAACCTGGTACTGGAACAAAAAACTTTTTTTTGAAACTCAATGTTGAACATATTTTTTCTTCTTAATTTTCAGGCAATAGAAATAAACTGTATTTTCACTTTCAATCTGAAACAAATAATTCTCAAAACATTTTGAATCAAACAATTAAAAGCTAAAAAAGCTTTCCTCAGTCACCAAACAAAAGATATATGGTCCCAGTATAACAAATACATGAAACTATTGCATGTTCTGTTATTTAACAGGATGAATTTATTTTTCAGTTTATCCACCCAAATGTGGAAATGTTCAGATTCAAGTTCAGAAGAATGAGGACAGTTTTAATTGTGATACCATAAATACCACCTGTGTTGATCCTCAAGGTGGCTTTGTTAATTATACCAAGGGATCATCAGCAGATGCAGTACTATTTAATGTCTCAGGAACAAATGATGGCAGACTTGTGCTCTGTCCTGTTACCAGCTTGGTGGGAGAAGTTCGTACACTACAGGTATGATAAAACCAGAATGGCAGAAATATTCCCAATGGAATTAATTTTGCTTATTTCTCTATGAAGATATTTTCACAAAAATGAGATCAGAATTATGGAATGTGTGGATGCGACTAGTATGGGTAGGACACTTTAGAATTGTCAAACTCCCACATATTTCTACTTAATTGATAAGTCTCTGATTTTTATATAAAATGACAAACAAATCCTTTGAGACAATGTTTTAAATATTAACATATATTTCGAAAATAATATTTCAAAAAATAAAAGTAAACAACGCCACTTTGAGGATCAACACAGGTGATAAAAAAAGTAAACATTGTATTTTAAACTTATTTACACTTTCTGTAAAGAGGATTGATTATTACCTGCAGGTAGACTGAAGTCAGGAGTATTTTGTTCATGGTCTATTTTTATAGTGTTTTATAAACAGATTAAAGAACTTGGAGAAGGATTAATTATTAGTGAAAAAATAATTATATGCCTCTGAAAACACCACTGTGTCAATAGTGAATCTATTCAGGAACATGTTTCAGCTCTAATAGATGTTAAAACCTCAAAAGGAAGTACTAAGAAGACAACTATGTTTGGTTTCTCTCTTAATAGTTTTAACCCCTCATCTTCTTTTACTCACAGTAATATCTTATACTTGAAACAGAGGTAACAGATATTTTCAAAATGTATTGAATGGACGTATTTGATTAATTGGTTTCAGTTTGAAGTGTTTGCTAAAAATGAAGTAGGACAGACCCCCATACAGATCTCAATAGAAGTGAGGGATGTTAACAGCAATCCATACTTTGTAAGGCTTCGTAATTTTACTGTATCAGAGAAGGCATTCCAAGGGACACTGATTGGAGTTGTAACAGCTGAAGACCAGGATACAGTCAATCAGTTCAAAACACTGCGATACTTTATTGGTAGGTTTTTAGTCAGACTAACTGTATATAAAACTGTTATTTGGGAAGTGCACAAATATATAACTACATGTAGAGAACAGACTATAACCTGGTGATAAATAATTTATTGTTTTAGTGTTTTGAGAGTGTTTCATATGGAGTAGCAATAGGAAGAGTATTTATGAAGTGTTTATTTGCAGAATGTCAACATTGTGTCTAATACATGCTCTCAATTATATTCAATCTTTATTATTTTTTATACTTTCTAGCACTATTATTACACCTCAGTTTCCTTATGTCTTAAATTAACAGTTTCTTGTGACCAAAGACCAAAATTAAACAAAGACCAAAATTATTATCGATCAGTATGTCATAAAAACATCTCTCTTTATCTCAAGGTTGAATGGATAGAGACAATTAATTTTAGATAACAGGAATCTTGAGATGCTTTGTAACAGCAGTATTAAGATATATTGCAAATCTATCTTTTTGATTAATGTTTAACTTTGAGGTAACAGGAATTTTGAGGTGAAAGAGTTTGAGATGACAAGAGTCAACTGAACTTTTATTTTCAGATGATACACAGTTTATATTTAACATGGACCAAGAAAAAGGAGAGATCAGACTTGGACAGATTCCACTGAATGCTTCAAATGTACCTCAATTTAGTTTACGGTTAAGGGTGAGGCTACTCTTTATTTTAATGTAAATGTATCTTATGTCACAATTACTCTTGAAAAGCTATCAGTCATTAAACAATAATTTGTGGGGAGTTCTAATAAAAAAACACCCTAGTTTTAAGACTCCCAGTTCAGTTCAGTTCAGTTTTAATGTTTTCTACTTTTTGTGTATTTATTAATTTAATTAACTTGATGTTAGGTTTCCTGATGTAAATTATCTTAGAAACAAGTGACATGCAAACTGAAATAGGTATCAATTGATTATATCATTTACAATTTTTGTAACTGTAAGATTGTAAAATTCTGCTCAGAGTTGAAACTGAGAAATAAGAAGTATGAGCCTAAAACCAATGGAAATCATTCATTATTTTTTAGGTAACAGATGCTGGTGGTCTTTCTGATTCCACGACTGTCTACATAACAGTTATTGATGAAAATGATCCACCAGTTTGTTTGAATCCATCAAATATTATACCTGCCAATGTCAATCTAACAACACCTGTTGGTGCAATTGTTACAAGCCTTATATGCTGGGACTACGACATGAAAGTAAAATATAGGACTATAATATACAACATTACAGGAGACAATGAAGGTAAATATTATGTGCATTAGTTGGATTTTATCTTCTTCAAAAAGGTCTTACTGAGTATTTTGAATCCTTGAAAAAAAAAGTAGGAAAAATAATGTCATCACTTGGCTAAGGGCTATTTGTTTTGAAATTGTGAGGTGTAAGACTTTACTCTATGTTGAAGGCCTCTCTGTTACTGTGAGATGGAGAACAGCAATTAAATCCCTGTTCCTTTGATTCAGGTTTGGTAAATGCCAGTAGGCCAGTGTGTCATGAATAAATACACCTGTGATCATCTTTTCCATTGCTACTATAAATGTAAATGAATATTTTTTCTTGTGAGGTCTGAACATTTTTTTTAAGACTATTATAAACTTGTCTTTTCTTTTTAAGAGTAGTTAAATATTTCAGTTACACCCAAAACAAATTTTTTTTCAGAGCATTTAGTTACAAAATAGCCATATTTAAAACCTTTGTGATAATAATTTTCATACCGATATATTTAAATCCTAAGATAAGTAAATTAATACTATGTTAAAAATATATTCCTAATTTTAGAGGAAAATTTAAAAAAAAATGTTATTACAAACTGTATTCTAATACCTATAAAAGTTCCTGCTTCATGTGTTTTCAGGAATATTTTCTGTCAATGGAAATGGACAAATAATAGTTACCAAACCTATACCAAGAAATTCCAGAAGTTTTCGTTTTCAAGTTTATGTGTCAGATCTTGTGATGATTGAAACTGGTAACCTTACTCAGAGAACAATATTAGATGTTTCTGTAGCAGTTAATAGTAAGTACAGATACCTGTTTATTGTATATTTGACAGATATAATACTAGTTCTTTCTTTGTGTATAAATGAAATACAATGACTGCTAAATCTCCTGAAGTTTTGCTTACAACTTTATTTTAATTCAAAGTTAAATCTTATATAGTTTTATAAAAAACAACATTTATTACAATATTCTTTTTTTTATAAAAATTGCACTGTCAATTTCATTTGATATAAGCATAAACTTTTGTTGATCATTTCTTTATCTATTAAACATGAAAGGTAGTATAAATTAGAGTCTGTAATTGGTGAACAAAGTCACTGATTACATATATATGTTGAGCTGTTTTGTATTAGCACATGGTTTAATTCGTATTTTTAAGGTGACTGTAATGTATGAATTTATTGGTTTTAAAATATTGGGCATTGAGCGTTCCTGATGAAGGTAAATCCAGAAAAGCATGAAATTAATAAAGTTTTTTTCATTTTTTACAGCAAATTATCCACCACAATGTGAAAAGACAATTAGCAATTTGCAGATAGAAGAAACTAAAATTGTTGGTGATTGTATCGAGGAAATAATCTGTAATGATGTTACCCTTGGTGACATTAGCATAGGAACAGTAACGGGAACGGGAAGCTCCTATTTCGAAGTTAAAAGTCGTGCATCTAATACGCAGGGCCAATTGCCATTGAATTTGTGTGTTATAAACAGTATAAAGGACAGAATGGGGTCTTACCGGGTACTTTTACTATATATAAACAATTGACCACAGCTAGGTTACTGGTCATTAGTTAAACGAATATAGATTCTTCCACTACATCAAGTGTGATATGTGATATTTTTCTTCACCTGAGATTATTTGATTTTAAGAATTTATATGCAAGGCTTGCTGAGAGTTTTACATATTTAACTTAGCACTGAAATATTGCATTACCACAAGATATAGTAGTGGAATCTCTTTTCTGCTGGTTTTTAGAACAATATGTAGGTGAATTAGGAGCTACTTAGAAAGATGGGTAATTGTGAAAATAAAAATTGCTGAAAAGGGACTTTTACATATTTTCTAGATAAATTGATGCAAGTGTAAGTCTTTTTGTGTTATATTGCTTAGGAATTTTAATTTTATCAAATAACAGTTTATTTAATAATGCCAGATACAAATGAAAAAAGAGATTCAGGTCTTGCAAGATAATGTTCATGACCAACTAATGTTCATGACTGTTTTATTTTACCCAACTCTTGTGAGTAGAAACATATTGCTAATGTAAATTGTCTTGAAAATGTCAAAGATAGCCTTCCTCTTATATGAATGTTTTAACAAAATAAGGAAATCACGAAAAATGAATCGCTGTAAAGAAGGCTAGAAAGGACTCAACACAAAAAAAAAAGTATCAATGAAAATAAGTTAGTTTACAGTTTGTGCATAGTATTTTTGATTTATTTAGTAATGATCCTATAAGATTATTTGCTGGCCATTCAGCATCTGTAATTCATGTTATTTCAGGTAACAGTAACTGTGACCAACGGTTTAGGTACAACTTCAGTTACATGGAATTTGGAGATCATTGATGTCAACGAACCTCCCTATTTTGTAAATACACCATATAGAGCATTAATTCCTGAAACTGTTGGTATAGGATATGAAGTTTTAGGTGTGACCTGGGGTGATCCTGATATCAGACAAGAATACAAAACTGTAACTGTCACATCTCAAGGTAATACAAAAGGAAAAATGTAGATATACATATGACCATATGACATGTCTAATTATTTACAGGGATTTTTTTAGGGAATAGTTGATATATATGTAAATGTAATACTAAAATTGATTATCTGACATACTGAAACTGAAATGGCTGTCAATTGGAGAAGATCGTATTCAAATGAAAGTGTTATTTATTCATACATTGTTTTATTATCTTACTTGTATTGCTTACTTGTTGATAGGAGGAGGAAAAGAATATTTTTTTTATTAGATTAATTGTTCTCTATCCCTCACTCCTACATCTTGTGAAATTGTGGTCAAATTATATTAAGGGCAGCATAATTAAGTTCTTAAATTTTAATTTTCTGAAGTAGATGTCAAAGATTTTTTAAGGGATGAATACCATCTATTTTGTTCTTGATTAATTAATGCATTTAAAATCATATGAATGGTATTCTCTTAAAAAAATGTTTAATTTTCAACATTCGATATAAAATCACAATTTATTTTTCTCCATATTTTACTATTTGTAGCAACTGGTAAGTATGATAAAGCACAAAAACAGTTATGGTTGAACTTTGATTTCCTAGTTTGTACAAAGCACTAATCTGTTTTGTTTAGAACAAGTTTTTTTCCCCAGCTTTTTTACAATTCCTGGTAAATTGTTTTATGTATATTGAAAATTTTTGCAGAGCACTAATATGTTATCTAGAACAAACCAATCAATTTCTCTTTCTTGTTGAAGCACAAATTTAGTTCTATATCTTAGTTTTTCTCTGCACAAAATTGTTCATCTACTTAGATCTCAATTTTTACACAGAAGGAAATGTGTTATCTGGACAAATCCATTGATTTCCAAGTATTTACATGGCACAAAAGGTTTATTTAGTGCCAATACATAATTTTCTGTGTTAAAAATGGTTCAATTTTAATGTACTGTAAATTCAGAAATTATTGTGATGCTTTTATTATTGCAATAATTGTGACAGTATCAGGTTGGAATTAATGCAAACTCGCATTCATAATTTTAGTAATTTTCCTTCATAAAGTTTTTGTAATCGCATTAATTATATTTTGTGTTTTTGCTAGGTCAAGGAAAATCAATAATAAATTCACACATTAATTTCTGAATTTACAGTATTTCTATTGAAAGATAACATTTTTTTATGGTTCACAAATCGAGCAAAAAAATTAATAAAATTGATGTGTTAGTAGTATGTGAAAATGTGTGTAGATGACTGCAAATGATTCATTATAGTCCCAAATTCCCAATACTAATTTTGCATTTTTACAAAAGATTTTCAATTTTAGATTTTCACAATGTCAACAAAATTTTCAGAAATGTTCTCTAGTCTCACAAAGTTAAAAAATAGAAACAAGTATACCTGGTTGGACACAAAAATCTTATAACAGTGATAATAATCACTTTCCAATGATAATATTATCTTAAAGGGTTAAAGTTATGCAGGAATGCCTTTGATTATCTTTAAAACAGACACATCAATGTAAAATCTTTTCATTGGATACAAGTTTTTCTGATTACATATTAGGTAGACATTTTTTTATTTCTAATTTTAGCACAATCTCCATCTGATGCAGCACAGAACATAAATTTTATAGCCAATTTTAATAAATACTATATAAGCAAGGTCCAGAATGCAACAGTACAGAATTTATATTGGTTTCAAGTTACGGTAATTACAAATTACATTTTCTTATGTTTAATACACAGATATTTTTGTTTATAGCAGTAAAACTGTTTAAGGTAAAGATGGTACAAGATATATATATATACTTTCCAGTTATTAACTACTCTATGCAGATAGGACCATTCTAACAACTTTTGAGGGTTAATCAGTGATATATTGCAAGGTCAAATTATTAGGGCCCCGCCGAATGGCGGACGCCCTATAGTGATCAGTCTGTCCGTCCGTCCGTAACAAATTGTGTCCGCTCTATATCTAGAGAACCGTTACGATTTCAAAGTTTATACTTGACATGTATATTAACCAACACCAGAGGGTGTGTCATAATGTATGTACAACTTCATAGGTCAAAGGTCAAGGTAAAAAACTTTGGTTTTAGTTGACAAACCCATGTCCTATGGTAAAGATCGTGTCCGCTCTATATCTTGAGAAACGTTATGATTTCCAAGTTTATACTTGACATGTATATAAACCAACACCAGAGGGTGTGTCATAATGTATGTACAACTTCCTAGGTCAAAGGTCAAGGTAAAAAACTTTGGTTTTAGTTGACAACCCCATGTCCTATGGTAAAGATCGTGTCCGCTCTATATCTTAAGAACTGTTATAATTTCAAAGTTTATACTTGACATGTATATAAACCAACACCAGAGGGTGTGTCATAATGTATGTACAACTTCCTAGGTCGAAGGTCAAAGTCAAAAACTTTGGTTTTAGTTGACAACCCCATATCCTATGGTAAAGATTGTGTCAGCTCTATATCTTGAGAACCGTTATGAGTTCAAATTTTATACTTGACATGTATATAAACCAACACCAGAGGGTGTGTCATAATATATGTACAACTCCTAGGTCAAAGGTCAAGGTCATAAAATTCGGTTTCAGTTGACAACCCCATGTCCAATGATCAAGATACAAATTTTTTTACCACACATTATTCACAGCGGAGCCCACAGAGATGGCTCCCATCTCAATGATATCTAGTTCCTCCTACCTACCGACCATATTTTTTTTTCTAATTTTCTCTTCCCAGTCAAAATACCAAAATCAGCGTATTTTTCATCCTGAATATGCTACTTACTACTTGATGTGATACAAACAGTATAGGCAAATTAGTTCGAATTATACTTTCAAAAGGGGAGGTGAGGGTTTTTTGTCTTTCCTTGACGTAGTCAAAAAGCGAGACTTCATTATTCTGTTTCCGGCTGCAACAATTGTTAAAGTTTGTGATAATGTCAGTTTAAGGGGAACCGCTTATGGTAAGTCAATGATATTTGGTATGCATTTGTATCAGCATTGACACATCTCTCTTCCATGAAGATTATTTGGCTCCACCCCACATTGGCATATCTTATTTTCACAGAAGTTATTTGGCCCTATCCTCTCAGTCATGGTATATTTACTTTGAATATTTTTTATATTTTGCATTTCAAGGTTTTGCTACTTAATTTCAACATTTGTAATTTTCTATCAAATAACATACAGGCAAGACATTTCTCAGTGTCAACAGTTTATTTTCCCAAAGTCTTTCTACTCATTTCATGTAAGATATATCTATCACATATGATAAACATGGTATTAAATGGTATAAATTGGAGGAAAAAGAGGTGGAAATACCAATGGGGTAATCAAAACCTTTAAATAGGATGAATCATTTAAACATTACATACTTAGACATGGAAGACAGTGTGATGATAATCACTACTCCCTTGCCACTCAGCTTAATCTTTTCATGCCCTCGCCACATTAAGTGTTACCCTTGTCCATCCCCAAAATTGATTTCCGTTCTCTTACTTAAGTTTGCCTCAACCAAATGTTATAAAACTTATACACAATGCTTGTTACCACAAAACACAGATCAAGTTTGAAATTGGGTGGCGTCACTTTTACCATTAATGAGTTATGCCCCTTTATATGAATTTTTCTTTTCTGTTTTCTAACTTTAGTTTGCCTCAACCAAATGTTATGAAACTTATACAGAATGCTTATTACCACAAAACACAGATCAAGTTTGAAATTGGGTGGCATCACTTTTACCGTTCTTGAGTTACGCCCTTTTTAATGGAAAAATTGCTAAATCTGTCGTTTCCATTCTCTAACTTTAGTTTCCCTCAACCAGATGTTATGAAACTTATACACAATGCTTATTACCGCAAAACACAGACCAATTTCAAAATTTTTGGCGTCACTTTTATCTTTCTAGAGTTATGCCCCTTTATAACATTATATTCAAGCATCATCTGTGTCCCATGGACACATTCTCCATTTATTTTAAAATGAATTATGGGATGTACCATTGTTTTATTGAACTGGAAGATAATGAGTTTTATGATATTTGTACTTCAGGCAACAGACAGTGCAGGTTTATCATCAATAGCCAATGTGACCATCGAAATCCAAGATGTAAACGAACGTCCAATCTGCCCACTCAGCAACAGAATAATTAATATTGGACTACTGACCAATGTAGGAGAAGTTCTGGACAGTTTGAACTGTTATGATACAGACAAAGATGATAATAACAGAAATCTGACTTACATTATTACACCACAGTCAGGTAGGCATGTTATATAGTGGTACCGTCTTTTGGTATGCATAGTTGTCATTTGTGTATTGTACGCACCCCCTTTATGGTCCAAGAAACTTGAGAAAAAAAGTTTCTTTTTCATATAATACACATAGACATTTTCGGAAAAGTCACAGCTCCAAAATCGGTAAAAATCTTGCTTGTGTGTGATTTTTTTCAGCAAGGAATTAATGAGATGTCATGATTAATATCATGGAAAGAATTTATTGTAGATGAATAAAGAATTTTAATAGTTATCTACTTTTTATAACCCACAAGTTAATGTTTGTCGTTTGTTGGCAAACAGGAAGTCTTAACTGGAAGTTTTTTAAATGGTCACCGATGTCGGTGAATTCCGTATGGAATATGTAATTAATACGAAATTGTATTATCTTGTATTATTTAATTTTATGTTATGATTTAGTGCTGAAATAAATTGTTAAAATCTCATTATTTTATTTTTTGTTTGTTGATTCTAGCTGTTAATCCGGATTATCACACCTCAATCAATGGGTCTAATCGATGTCAAAACAATCAATGTCAATGACAGGTTCACCTTATTCCTAATTAAATTCGTTCAGGTTTAATCAATTATGGAATAATCATGTTTTCAATCATAATTTCTTGAACGGTTTTAAACAGTTGTTACTGTTTAAAATTTACAAAGTAAAAACGTATTTATAAAAAAAAACTTCTCATAGACTAAATCATCACTTTACAATATTATGTCACATGACTGACGATCACCTGACACATTAAATAAAAAATGGTGGTTTATCTTTTCAAAAAGAGCGTGGTTTATTCAATTTTCATACTCTTATCTTCTACTCTCAACGATGAACACATACACAAACAGTAAGTTATGACCACAACCTGTACGAAATGGGACGCCCGTAAATGACACGGAAACCAGGCGTAGAAATCATACTTTATCAGGGCGTCATTGTAATGTTTACGGAATGCATGTCCAGGCGTCAACCAGGCGTAAACCAGGCGGAAACCAAGCGTAACTGAGGCGGAAACCAGGCGTAAAATTAGGCGTAATATTTAAATGAGTACGCCTGGTCCACAAAAAACCAGGCGTTATATGCAAATGAGTACGCCTGGTCAATAAAAAAACCAGGCGTAATATCCTTACATAATACTACACTTATTTTAAATCAGTGTATTACCCTAGCTGTGTACTTTTGTGTATTTGATACAAACTTCTGTACTATTGCTTAAATTTCTCACTGTTTGACATGAAACTTGAAATATTAACCATTAATTGAAGAAGCTATATAAATAAATACATATTAGACAGACACTGGCTCAAATAAATTAATTCTTCCTGAAATAAAACCAGCATTTTAACTAAGTTTTTTAATGTCATTTGAACCAAAATATCAATGAAAATACTGCAATTTAACTTAATGTGAAAGATTTTAATGTTATCATCCAAAGATGAAGGTTTTCAGAATTCACAATTACTGTTAAAAAAAAAAACTTAGTTACTTACATAATTATCTTTTACCATGTATATTACTTTCCTTTTATTTCACAATTTTCATTAATCAATTTGATTCCATAATTCCAATTTCAAATTCTTCCAAAAAGCACAAAACAAGCTTAATTATCCCTGAATATATAAAGCTGCCATAAGTCCAACTCTTGCAAAATAACACCAAAGAGCCAAATTTTGAAAAAAAATCCCATGATCCTTTATCAACAAAGCATTATGGGTATAATGATTTACGCCATACCAACAGTTTTACGCCCGTAGGAAAATTTACGCCAGGTTTACCATATTTTCTACGCCCGTAAGGACTACAAATTTACGTTTCCTGTTCCCTTACGCCTGGATCTGGACACGTAACTACCACTAACGCCTGGTTTACGCCAGATTTCCAGGCGTAATACGCCTTATAATTTCGTACGGGAAGAAACACAGAGCCTAAATTAACCGACAACAAAAGCTTCATTGTGTCTCTATTAAGACGTGGCAAACTTCCGGATTGCAAACAGATGGACAAATTTACACGATAAACGTAACTACAGAGATATAAAATGTATTTTATTTGAATAAAACATGACATATCAAGTACAGTAAGATACATATTACAAATATAACATGTAAAACATATTTAAAGTCGAGGTATTAGCGAAAAATTCCGTACTCTTCACTTCACCTGTTTTTTTTTTTGTTGGAGTTCGGACCTGAAAAAAGACTTAAGAAAATGTTTGTAGGCATGTATAATGCGCACCCCTCTTACAAGAAACACGACCCAGGGTATAAATGTGCGCACTATGCATACCAAAAGACGGTATATCTTTGGGACCTTATACCTTACACCAAATGTTGAAATCAAATTAATTTGAATATGATTTTTTATGCAAGTATAAAATGATGACTTATATTTCATCAATGAATGATATCTGTCAAAAAGACGATAATAAAAAAAAAACTATTATTCTGTAATAAATTTCATGTATGATCTGATTTTCTGTTTGCATTTCAGATAACTTTGATGTTTCCAAAGCTGGGGATATCACATTGACTTCACCATTACTAAGATGGAAGGACCGTTACGATTTATATATAATTGTATCCGATGTCGGAACTCCTCCATTAACTAGAAATATTAATGTGGCTGTTAACATAAACAGTAAGTTTATAAGGACATTGATTATTTATGCTTAGTTTCGCATATAATACTTCCATGGTTCCATCATTATCAAAAAGTGTTGATGTGGCTGTTAGCATAGACATAACGACCTTAAGAATGTTAATTAGAGCTTATTTGTATCAGATCTCATTCTTCTATACTATATACTGTGGATGCATTATTATTTGTGGGATACAAATTCTAAGTGGATTTCTTGAGTACAGGTGAACCACAAACACTAAAGTACAAATTTTCTATTAGCAGGTTTCTATGCAGACCATGGCAAGACCATGAGATCAGATATCAACCAAAGTACAAATTATCTATTAGCAGGTTTCTATTCAGACCATGGCAAGACCATGAGATCAAATATCAACCAAAGTACAATTTTCCTCAAATCCACGAAAATAAATGAATCGACAGCATACCATATTTGTTGATTTTGTTGATATTGTGGCTACAATAATGCCTAAATTTATTGTTTTTCAGGACAGATCGAAGCAGAATGTTCTCCACTAGTAGATTATCCATCTATATGGGTAAAAGATGCTTGTGTAAAACTGAACATGAGTTGTACTGATCCAACCTTACCAGATACAACACATCTACAATATTTAACATCAGGAAACTTTACACCACAAGCATTTGTCCTCACAAAAGTGTCCCAGGGTGTGTTTGAACTTTGTTATAAATTGCTTGGTGATAGCAATACTCAGGTAAGATTGACAGAGAACTACCTTGGTGGGCTTTTGGTTGCATGCTCTTTATTGATGGAGGTCATGGTTGGATCATGACTTGGTAAAACCAAAGACTTTGAAAATTGGTATTTGCTGCTGCTTCTGAGCACATTGTCTTAGGAGTAAGAGCAAATGCTAGTCTGATCGGAGTCAGAATAATATGTCTGCGTAGGGTGTCATGTCTTCTTGTGGACTGTAACCTATATATATATAGCTATGAACTAGCACATTAAAATAAGGTCAGTGTGTTAGTATAGTACAAAGCAGGATCCATATCATATCATATTAGCATGTTCTTGTCCAGATATACACCTGAGATCACCCCCAGTTCCTCAGTCTTTAGTTTCCTATGTTGTGTTTGGTGTACTATTGTTTGTCTGTTTGTCTTTTTCTTTTTTAGCCATGGCGTTGTTAGTTTATTTTCGACTTATGAGTTTGAATATCCCTTTGATATCTTTCACCTTTCTTTTGATATTTGCCAGTGGTTGTGAATCACCAGTCGAACATCATGATAAGTTGTATAGACAATCATATTACACCTACATTTTTGTACAATATGTGAAATGTTGAAGTTTCACAAATGACTATCTTGGAATTCTAAGACAATAGGTCTGTGTTTTGAATGCTGTCTGACAGCAATTTTCTGGTTAAGTAAGAAGATTAGACAACAAACCTGTATAACATTAGTGTTTTAAAGCTTTACACTAAGCATAAGTTGCATTACTATGTCTTAGATGCATAGAAAGATATCATTGAATTTAAACCAGAGAGTTTATTTTGAGGATTAAATCTTGTAGAATGACACCCAAGGGTTGACTGGGGTATTGATGTGCTTGCAATATTTTTAGGAAACAAAAAGAATAAACAAATCAAATTTTTTTTTGAAGTTATATTTTACTTAGATATTTCTTAAACATAAATCTGGTTTTCATGTTTGCACATATTTACCTCCTTTACACAAAGAATGATATTTGAAAAAAGGAGATCAGTAAAAATTAAAGTACAAATATATATCTTAATTGCTATCATTATTTTGTAGTTGATTGTAACTGTCAGGAATGGTCTGCAAGACTATGTATATAACTTAGATCTTCAAGTCAAATATGCTGCATCCACTCCAGAGTTTACACAATCCAAATATGTAAAGGAAATCCCTGAAGATGCTGTTGTTGGTACATCTGTACTGCAGGTCAATGCTACAGCTAATGGAGGAGGGAACATCAGATATTCCATACAAGGTAACTTCAAACTGTAGATAATGTACATCAAATCTATTGATAACAAGAACCAAAAAGGCAGCTCACTTTTCCATTTATTGTTCTGATAAAGAGACATGCTAAGTACCATAGCTTTTCAGTGATAGAATGGTAATAGATTTCCTAACAAAGGAAGTCCTGCAGTTAAAAGAATCAATAGATGTTTCAAATATTCTCTGTTTTTCAGTAGAAACTATGTTTTAACCATGGGCCTCATATTTTTTTTATTTCTTCACAGGGACAGCATATCCTGGAGTGTTAGAAATAATACCTGATACAGGGATTGTAAAAACTAATGCATCTTTAACAATATATGCTAACAAAGTCATAACCATCCAAGTACAGGTAAGTGTTAATGTCATGATCATAAAAGCAATCTTATATAATCTTTCTGTATAGAAACTTAAGTTAATTTTTTCTCCCATCTTTGTGTTATGCATTCATTTCAAATTGTTCTCTATTGAAGGTCATACAATAAATTGTATGTCTATGAACATAAGGAAAAGGAAATTATTAGGTATACATCAATGAGACGGCAACCAATCAACATAAAAGGCATTTTAAAGTTTAACATACAGTGTTTTACAATAGACAAATGTCTAGATTATATGTCAAGTCTACATAAGATAAGAATGAGTTATGCCTGAGTTAAGCCTTTTTCAACTTATTTTTATAGTTTGTTCTTATGTTGTGCTGTTACACCACTGTCCCAGGTCAGGGGCAGGGTTGAGCGCTGACAAAGATGTTTAACCCCACCACATTCTTTATGTGCCTGTCCCAAGTCAGGAGTATGTAATTCAGTGGTGTCATTGGTTCATGTCTGTCATATTTGTTTTTTGTAAACTGTTTTATTATAAATTAGGCTTTAGTTTTCTCAATTGAATTGTTTCATTTTTTCAGGTCGGGGCCTTTTATAGCCGACCATTCGGTATGGGTTTTCTCATTGTTGAAGGCCATACTGTTGCCTATAGTTGCTTACATCCACTTCATTTGAACTTTGGTGGATAGTTGTCTCATTGGCAATCATACCACATCTCCTTATTTTTATATAAGCAAAGTCTACCTAATATTTTCCATCAACACCAAATTCATTAAGCAACGAAAAGTTGTGATATAAATACTGAGACAACCACTGACAGGGTTCTTGACTTGGGACAAAAATAACAAACATATGCTGAAAATTAATAGATTTCAGATGATTCAATTAAAAAATTGTAGCAGTATTATAATTTGAGAGGCAAAATTGAAAAAGAAAAACATGAGAAGATTGTATATTTAAGGGAATTAATCTATTGAAAGTATTTTGAATAACAAAAGAAATGTTTCTAATAATCTGTAACAATATGATCAAATACAGTTGTTGTTCTACATCAATTAGATAGCAAACGACAAAAACAACCAAAACACATCAATCTAGACAGGAGCATATATACAGTATTAAAAAAAGAAAGACTTTTTTATACAATATGTCAAACTCTTAATCATTCTGAGTCTGTATAGTTTGTGAATAAATAAAAGAGAAACAATCAAAGATCTGCCATCAAAACCATATTCTCCATAATACAACAAACCATGTAGATGAACAAGTAGATTACATTCCTATATCATAATATGCTAATTTTAGTATATGCTCTATACAGATCATTTTGATTTAAGGTGATGGAATACTCTTATTCTACCTCACCTGTCTGTGTTCTGTCAAAATATGAACGATCATCTTAGAATCTAACAAAAACATTTTGTGGCATTAACCTTTTGCTCGTCCTTTTCAGACGGTTAATGTGATTTTGTCATGGTAATTTTTTTCAGGCATATGATCTGTTGTCACAACTGAAGTCATCTGTTGATGTAGATATTACAGTTGAAGATGTTAATGAGCCACCTGAATGTACTCTGGGACTTCCTGTTATACCTGCAATTAGAGTAGATACTTCCATTAACACCATCATCCAGAATATAACCTGTAGTGATCCTGATGTAAAGGCAGAAAATAGAGATCTTGACTATTCCATTTCAGGATTAGGTAGGAATATTTTCACAACTCCATCATGATTTTCAGTCTTTTTTATTGAAATAATTATGAGAATTTTTTGATCTGTGATGTCCACAAATAATTTGAACTCAGATATTTATCTGTTTATTTAAGGTATAACTTTTCTGCTTATGATTTCTAATCTTTACAAACATTTCTTGATATTAATTAATTGTTTTTCATGGAGTCAAACAGGGTATTTTTTTTCAACTGCAAATTTATTAAGTTGATAATAGAGAAAAATCTACTAATCAAAAGAATCAAGTGTTCAGTATGCACTATGAATTATAGAGATATGGGGTATACACCAATGAGATAGTAAGCCAATGACACAAAAATACCAGGAGACAAATGGTCTACAAAAAGATTTTTATACAATATGTCATTGAAGCTCTCTCTAAATGGTTTTAAGTCTAGAAAAGCTGAAAATAAAATTAACTGAGGCTATCAAAGATCTGTCAATAACACCAAATTCCCTAAAGAACAATAACATTCAGGATATAACTAAAGACGACAATGATGAGGCTCCTTTTATATGACAGACACAAAAGCATGCAGCATTTGTTTCAACTAAATATATTCCCATTCACAGACACAAAAGCATGCAGCATTTGTTTCAACTAAATATATTCCCTTTCACAGACACACAAGCATGCAGCATTTGTTTCAACTAAATATATTCCCTTTCAGAGACACAAAAGAATGCAGCATTTGTTTCAACTAAATACATTCCCTTTCAGAGACACAAAAGCATGCAGCATTTGTTTCAACTAAATATATTCCCTTTCAGAGACACAAAAGCATGCAGTATTTGTTTCAACTAAATATATTCCCTTTCACAGACACACAAGCATGAAGCATTTGTTTCAACTAAATATATTCCCTTTCAGAGACACAAAATCATGCAGCATTTGTTTCAACTAAATATATTCCCTTTCAGATGTACTGACATATTTTAAAACACAGAGGATCAGTCCTTATATGGTTGAATTAGCCACAAAATCATTGTTATCTGTTACCAAGGCCAAGTTTGATGTTGTTGTTACTGTTAAAGATGGTGGACAACCTCAGCAGACCATCACTTTGCCATTTGAGCTTCATGTTGACTGTAAGTAATTACATACACTTTTTTCCTTGGATAAATAAAACTTACCACAAGAGAGACACTGATATAATGGAGTAACTATCAACTTCAAAATAAGACAGAAACAAATACATGTAATTCCACAGTAATATTTATATTTTTTTTGGATTACAGATCTGATTTAAGTAGTGGTTTTGGTGGTATATTCAAGAATTACGATTTTGACCATACTGGAACATATTGAAAGTGAAAATGAACTGTCTTGATATAGATTGGGTTTTGACAGAATGGCATGAAATTTTTCCCATTGTTTAAGATAGATAAAGTAAGCCTTGTTGACCAATTGTTTAGCTTATTTCTGAGTTACAGAAATTTGTTTATTTAAAAATGAATCTTTTTCCTCGTTTCATGTGATGACTACTATTAACAAACTATTTAGAATGGGACTTCTAAATAATTCATGTAGGATTTAGAAAAAGATCTATAAAAAGGAACTATTAAATGAAAATTTATAATTTCAGTGACGCCACCTGTTCCTACACTAGAAGTATCTGCAGTAAACATGACCGCCATTAAAGTTAAATGGTTATACCAAAGACAGGATTTCTACACAGTTACTAACAAGTTTACCTTAAAAATCAATAATATAGAGTTAGATTTACCTGTGGACAAGGACCAGTCCCAGAGTTATGTAGTTAATCTTGATCCAGATACAGTTTACAATGTTAAGTTGGAGGCTGATACAAATTATGGAACTGTTATTACTCCTTTGGTTTCGGTTAAAACACCAGGTAAGGGGAGATCATTTGTTTGTGGAAATGAAGATACAATGTGTAAGGGGAGATAAGTTTGTTTCAGAAGTGAAGAAACAATGTGCTATTACCTTAAAATGATTATGTTAAAGATAACAGAGCCAAACAGAGGAATATTGCTTATCTCTCTTAACAAATTCATGAATATCTTAGACAAGAAGAATAAACTTTATATTCAAATTGCAAGTTTGAAAATCCAAGCCTAGCTGAAAATTTAGAACCATGCTTAGAATTTTATCACAGGGATAGGCAAATGGTATAGTTACTTTATTTTTTTTTCTAAATATTGCTTCCCAAAAGTAGGAAAATAATATTTCATTCATAAAATTACACACATAAAATAAGGAAATTATTTATTTGATCTCAAAAATTACATTTATAATTTTGGTTTATTGTGTTAATTTTCAGCCCAATAATGCCAAATATTTTACCTATTGGATATACCATGTTTATTTCAGCTGTACCTGTATTGTCAACTTTCGTTGCATCAATAAAGATTACAGATGATAATTTCGATTCTCAGTTACTAGATACACAATCATACAGATATGTAACTTTGTCTACAAGAGTCACAACAGAGGTAAGATTTTATTACTAGATTTTGTATTGAAGTGATAGATTTTAACTCAGTTTTTTTTTCAAAACTATTATTGTTTTATCATTTTCATATTAGGAACTTTCTTAACAGATGATCTGTTAGTAATACTGGTTAAAAAACAAATGAATTTACAATCTTATTAAAGATTCAGATTAATATTTAGTTTGTTAGTTTAGGGAATACAAAACAAATGAAAATTTATTTGTTTATTGAAAATGCATTATGTCTCCACATGTGATATTCATCGGTTCACACATTTAATAAACTTGTAACAATATTTTAATTTTTTTTTACATATTTTACAGATGGCTTTTGTTCTGAACAGAACTCCAGGTTTTGTTTCTGTTTCGGTGATGATGTTCAGGTAAGGAAGTAGTTTCTGATTTAACCCCAGGAACTCCAGGAAAACTTTTATAAAAATGTTAAGCGAACAAGGCTTTGCCTAAAAATTACAGTTGGTTTAATTTGAAATACTTTATTCAAAGACATGGACAATGATAGAAAGGAAATCATCTTTATCTATCATGTTTTAACTGTAGAATAAAACAAACATGGTTGGCACTATGTAAATGTTATTTCAAGACTTCATGAAGGTTCTTTTATAAATTTGGAAATGCAAAATATTTTTTTGTTTTATTGGATTCAGTGATGGAATCTGTTGATTTCAAAATATTAAGTATGGTATTTGTAAAAGAGCATTCAGACTTTTGTCAGTTATGTTTTGAAGTTAAATTGCCTGAATCTGTCATATTATAAAGAAGTTAGATTGTCCTGTTCCTTAGATTTTTACCAGTTTTCCTCACTATAGATATGAAAACTATATTTTTTCAGAAGAGGCAGTGTAATTGTAGACTCATTAGTGACTGTGAACCAGACAGGAACAGTAGCAGGAACCTCTAATTCTATAAGGCAGGCTGTGTCCACAGGATTCGTTGGTCAGATGTCAGTAGATCCTAATTATGTTATCATTGGAAATGGGGGTATGTAATATCTTGGTGATGATTAATTTAAATAGAAAAATAAAAGGATGCGGTACGATTTCCAATGAGACAACCAACCACCAGAGTCCATATGATGTATATATAAGTATTAATATTGATGGATATTTGTTTCACATAGCGAAGAAATTATAAATAATGGTGGCTTTTAAGGTCAACCTAGATTGTTTGAAGTTCAACAAAAAACTGTCTAATATTTTGTGTGCATAAAGTGATACAAATATAATGTCAGCAATTATGACAAAAGTTGAGAGTTTTTAATTAAAATGTTCTCTTTCAAGAAATACATCTCCAAGGACGATGGTCTTACATTTACATTGTAAAATATGAGTTTCTGTTCTTTTTCTCTCAGAATTACAAATTTATTAAACCATATATCTTTCAGATGGATATATAAGAGTAACTGGTATATCTGTTGTTGGTAATTACTACCAAGATACCAGTGTAACATTTACCTGCTCAGCTGATATCATTGGTAAGGTAGGGACTGTTGGTGTTACCTGGAAACTAAAGAATGCTGTAATTAATCCAACGACAGCTTCACGATGGAAAACCGAGACGTTACCTGATGATACACAGTATCCAGGGAGAAGACAATATCAATTAAAAGTCAACCCAATGCAAACAGGAGATACAGGTTCAGATTAGTTTCCATAATTTTTTTCAAAATTGATGATGTAAGTGCCTTGCTACAATCAGTTGATGGAAAACTTTGTTCTCTTATTTTGGTAAAATGATGTTAAAAAACAATATTCCAGTGAAATAAATGCCTAAATACAGCCCTATGTTTTTGTTATATTGAAGATTTTAAAATCAGATTCTTGCATCTATAGTATTTTTTTAAAATAAGATGTTATTTGCTAAAAAGGAGAAATTCATCTTTTCAAATAATTGTAAAAAACAAACGAAGTATGTTTAATCAGACTTATGCTGGAGTGTATTCATGTTCTTGTATAATTAATAGGAAATATATCTTGTCACATAAGTGATGGAAAACTTCAATCTGATTGGACGATAGATGTTGCTGTAATTGGTAAACCTATTGTGTCTATATCACCAATGACAACCACAGTGCATCAAGGAGATTCCTTTAATATAGTCTGTCAGGTGGTAGAGACATACGGAACACCTTCATCAATTACCTGGCATAAAAATGGTGAAAGTTTTAATGGTGGACCAGGTAATTTTTTTCTTGACATCTGTTCTCTGAGGATTGAAATGCAATTTTAATTTATGTGGGAAAAATTAACATAATATATAAATAAATGAAGCAGTAAAGAAATCAGTTTTGTGTCAAAATCAGAAGTTTAAGTTCCCTGACCATTTTGATAATGAAAAGCATAACTGTAGACGTTTGTTTGTTTATTTGTGTTGGTTTAGGCTTGAATGTCTTAAATATAAATATATAAACCATATAAATGAAATGGAGTGAAAAAGATAACAAACCATTACTTTAAGAAAAGCAAACTTCATATTCAAAGAGACAAACAACAATCACTAAACACTATACAGAAAAGTAAAGATTGAACTATGTCAACAAGCAAGATGCTGATGTCAGATTTTGTTTTGTTGGATATATGTTTCTTTTACAAATACCACACATTCTTTTTCTTCTACATTAATAATAATTGAAAAAATGACTCGACAGCACTAAGTTATATAAAAATCTAATGCCATTATAAATTGATGATAAAAATATTCATTTATGTTACATTTAAGAGGAATTTTGACCATGCTATTTAATTGGAAGTAACAGTTGTTGTGTTCTGTTTTTAGAAAATGACGCAGTCAATTTTCTTTTACCATTGACCAGACTTCCAATCCGCATTCCGAACTCGGTTCCGTATTTTACATACTTAAAGTGAATGTTCGTATGCGACCGTATGCTCATACATTGGTAAAAGAAAGACAACTCCAGCGTTGCAAATGTACATTTTAAAATAACAGATGGTGTTGTCTCCCTTCAATATGTCTTGTTGTGTACAAAATGGCGGACATTAACCTTCGTGACCGTCGGACAATTTTCAATCATCTTGTTTGAAATACAACTGGAACAGACTTAAATTTGTAATTTTCATTCTTTAATTTCTTAACCTGTCATACCTGCCAACTTGCACGATTCAGGCGTGAAATACTCGATTTTGACCCCTTGTCACGATTGCACGATTTTGTTAAATTCTACTGTTCCCAATTTCGAACTTTCTCAAACTTTTCCCAAGGGAGACAACTGTGATCAGCCAATCAAAATCGTTGTTTCTCCTGATCTTTGGGTATTGTAAACTGCAAATGTGCTAAATTTTGAACTTGTCAGGAACTCAGAATATTGTAGAAATCGTGATCATGGCAGACCAATTTTCAATTACAAGAAGGTTCTTACACAGCTTAAGAAGTAAATCATGACTGGTTGACAAAGTTCAAAGATGCAGTTCAACCATAAACATAATAAACAGTAGCTAATGGACAAATTTTACACTTATGGTAACAGATCATACATGTTGTCATTCTTGAAATTAAATTACCAAATCCATTAAAGTACAATGTTCTATCTTTTAATTTTCACAAGGAATCAGATATATTTCCTTCTTTGTGCATATTTTTATATTTGAAAAGTCAACAATCACTTTAATATTCCTGTGACCAATAATCTGATAATCCACCTTTAAGGTTCATCTAATATACACCAACAAAAATGGCTGTGTTTACACCATGAAATTTTCTCTGAATGCAGACAAAACTGTGTAATTCTAATAGTTTTAAATCCTGGCAGCACCTGGCCACAACTCCTCTTTTTCCTGTGGTACATGAAAACAATAAACCGGTTTGGTACATTGTTGAGGTCTGAAAGTGACTTATAACTGCCAACAGCCACATTATTTGGACTCTGGTAGATAGTACCTCAGACTGTTATCTCATTGGCAATCACACCCCATCTCCTTATTTTATTACGGGTCAATTATTTGAAATAAATGACTACGGTACTAAACATTAAATCATTTGAAAAAAAATAATTTTGCAATAATTTATGTTGTCATTTTAAGATTTCAGTGTAAGCTTGATTACTACAGGCTCTTCACAATGAAATTAAGTTGTATAAATGGTGTCACATTGTTTGTAATTGTGAAACTAGTATAACAATACTATTGTCTAAATCTACAGAAATTGATCACGTTTAGGTAACTGAAATAACAATGTGATTTAACAGGCTCTTCATAATCATTTTGTTAAATAATTCTACAAATAAGGGAAACAAATTCACATATTACTTTGAATATTGTAGATTGTTCAGGTAGTCTTGAGCTATTTCTTTGTACAGCAGAACAACTAGTAGTTATTTACACTTCACACACATATATATATATATATATCTTGACAAACAAATAAAAACGCTATAGATTGTGGAAACAATTCATATCTATTCTATCAGTTACTCTACCTACCATAAACTGAACGTCGCCTAAGATTCAGTAGGTAAATTAAGTAAAAATCAAGACTTGTATCAAAAATATCCTAATATGAGAGACAATGGCGTCATTTTTACTTAGAGCTTTCAGCTCTTTGATTGTAATATGGTGTTGTTTGGTTGCATTATCATTGATTTATCATTCTCATTGATTTATGCCCAACATTGTCTTTTATACACATAGTATGATTTATAATTGTTCATTTATATTATATAGATGAAATAATTGACCGTGCCAACTTCACCTATCATGTGCTGAAAATCTCCAATATACAGAACTCCATCAGTTACAGTTGTTTGGGAGTGAACGTAGCAGGGACAGGGAAACAGGCTACAACTACTATTACTGTTATCCAGTCTGGAAGTAAGTATACAGATCTATGGGTTACAGCTGTTTTGGATTAAATGTAGCTAGACAGGGAAACTTGCAACAGCAACTTAAAATTACACAGAGGAGCATTATAATACTCATTTGTATGGAATAACTGCAATAGGGACAGGAAAACTGACTTGAGCTATATAATTTAACTTTTTTCTTTATCTTGTCTGGAAGTATGTATGTATACAGAAATAAAAAGGAAATCAAGCCTAAGATTTTTTATGCATTTTCTATTCAATTTGGGCTTGTGGCCTGTGTTAAATTTTCACTAAAATAATATTTAAAGTGTGTTCATGTAAATTAAGCTGTTAAAATTTATGTACCTTTACAGTACCAACACAAGGTTTGAGGTTTACCAAGAATTGTAAACAAACCTTAATTTTAACCAGTAACTTATTAAAAAGATTCTTCTTCATATGAATGACAGTGAAATTTATTATTGCTGTATATGACTGTGTACTTTTTCTTACATTAGTGTGATATTTTACAGTTTCTTACAAGTATTGCCCCACAAGCATTGATAGTTATGGTAAAAGATGGAATGGTACCATTGGTGATACTGAAGTAATTGTTCCATGTACTGGAGATTACACAGGTACGTTTAGTTGTTAAAATAGTTATGTAGATTTGTACAAATGGCACTTCCAGAATATTACTTTTTTTCTGAAATACTAATGAAAACCATTAATGACACTTCCAAAATTGTATCGTTTTATGAAATATTCTATAAAAAAAGATTTAAAAAAAAATTATATTATCTGCATTTCATATTATTCAATTTAATCCTGTCTGTTTTGTTTTGTACAAAATAAATAATATGTACTGTTTTATTGTTGTTGTTGTTATAACTTAAAGTCATGAATTTAAATTTTGATCTGGTGTCCATCATGTTTGTTCTGTGAAAGAAACATCTCATAAAAATATTTTCTGTTTTAATTTCTAAAACTTCAGTAAGTGAATTTTTATCTAATAAGTTATTGAGTACAAGAAGGTTATGATTTAAAAGTTTATACTTAAAATGACACTATGTTGATATAGGAACAGTATCTAGGTTCTGTATGAAAGATGGTATTTGGGAAGATCCTGATTACAGCAGATGTGTCAGAATTGATCTACAGGAAGTCAATGAACAGGTATTAGTGTTTCCTATTGTTTTAATCCGTGTTTTTTTTTACAATCTATAATAGCTTGTTTAATGCTAATTTTTCACATTTAATGTTGAAAGTTATACAATAAGATATACAAGTACGTAAAACTCAAAATATTTAGATGTCTTTTCATTATTTTTCTATGCAAAGGTTACATGCAAACTTAAGCTAATTTTTAAATTCTTATTCCTACACTCATTATATTTTAGGTACGGATTACATATTACATTGTGAAACTGTGCAAAACACAAAATAGTTATAGTACTTCCAATTGAATATGCTGAATATATAAATCTCACATCCAAAGCTTACTTAGCATGCCTTATTTCAATTAGAATAAGTGTCAAGTTTTTATCATGTGGTCAAGTTGTTAAAATATAAATGTATTCTTTTTTTTTGTTAGTCTGACAATTTGAAGAATGGTGTAGAAGTTGCTGAGGTAGATAACATTCTTCAGACCATGACTGCTCTGACATCAGATAACTATGGAGAACTGACCTCTGGTGACCTTGAAGTGTCATCATCCACCTTAGATAATGTAGCTGACCATGCCTCTGAAAGGACAAACTCACTTGTTGTAGATCAGTTAGATGTATGTATTTTGGTAATGATTAAATTAACCAAGCAGGTTTAGATAATATATAATAGAAGTCCATGTACAAGGATTGTATATTGTTATTACATTATAGTAAAATAAAACTTGTTTTATAGGTTGCAATTCTGTAAATATAGACAATGCAATTTCCCATAGGAACTCCCTTTGCGGCAAAAACTGTGACACTTTTACTATGAGGTTTCTTGAAAAATAATATCCCAGAATGGAAAGTTTATATGCACTACTATTTTATTCAAAGGTCAAAATATAGGGCTGTGCGGCATATTTTCAACATTTATATGCCCTGAACTTCTAAGAGTTTAAACTTATACTAAAATTCTATACTACCCTTACCTTCATATTTGGACCTCCTAAGAATTAAAATTTAGGCGCTTCCATGTTTTTCTATACTGGTTACATTCCCAAGTGATGTCTCTATGAGATGAAACACAGAGATCATAAATGGGAACCAGTACATTAACAAATTAACATATCTATGAATATTATATATCTCCCCAAAAGAGGCGTGGTTTGAGAAACAGCTGTATTTACAAAGTGCAACCTATACAAACATTTATTCAAATAGAAAACCTTCTAAAAACACTTTTTCTCACAACAATACTTATTTATCAGAATTATAGCCATAAGGAAATCACTGCATATACTCTAAGTTTCCTTTTACAGTACATTTTATACCCCTACCCCTGTTTCAGTTTATTAAAGAATTTGAAAACAAGACTTTAATCATTGCCAGCTTACCCTATGTGCATGTTTTCTGACATAAAATGTCTAAAACATGTTTGAAACTATTCTGATAACAAACTGAAAGCATTTTAGAATACTATAAATGTATTGTTTAGTAGTTAATCATTCCAACATTCAAGATTATACAAAGTATCCAATCCTGCCTGTGTCTCCAGTCCACATCTTACTGTATGCCTATTTGTTAATAAAAGTTCACAATTTCTGTCTCAAATGGTCAGTTAAGATTTCTTGTCACAACAGTATCATCTCTAACCATATAACTAACATAAGTTAGATAATGTATGAACTAGAAGTGTCTAAACAAAGCCATATTTGCAAAATTGTATTTAAGAAGATATCAGTCTGGTGCATAAATTCACTAAAAGTTTGATAGAAATGACTGCTTACATCTTATTTTTGCATAAGTTTCCAGCACAGTTATTGTTTTGTTTACAAAAGAACTTGAAAATAATAAAATCATAGCATTTACAAGTTAAATTATCTGTTTTATGACCCAGGGTAAGCATTTTTTTCTGTTTTTTGCCCCCTGGGGCCTCACATTTTGCTAAATATTTTCCCTGTTTCTAGCAATGTGGAGTATTTAGTATATATTTAGGACAGAACACACTATTGTAAGTTTTATTGAGGCCTTTTTGTAATTCTAGCTTGTACTTTTTAATGCCGCGGTCACAAAAAAACACATTTAGGTGTTACGGCTTACTTTTGGGTTATTGACAGGACAAAAATAACCCAACAAAATTATTTAGGAAGGATCAATGAGTTTCAATGACTGTGAAGAGTAAATATAAGCACTTCTAAACAATTTAAATCACAAATAGGCACATATTATGAATTCATTTTGAATTCAGGGCTTTAAGTAAACCATGCATACTGTAAACTGTGAATTTATGCTGAGTCATCATAGTTAAGGCTCAGGATTTTCTCAATCTTCATGAAATATTTATAAAACTTCATATTTGAGTTAAATTCTTTAAAATCTCTGAGATAAACCAGATTTTTTGAAATTCTGTATGTTCTATTTTTTAACGCTATAAAGGTTGCAATTATGTAAATATAGACAATGCAATTTCCCATAGGAATTCCCTTTGCGGCTAAAACTGTGACACTTTTACTATGAGGTTTCGTGAAAAATAATATCCCAGAATGGAAAGTTTATATGCACTACTATTTTATTCAAAGGTCAAAATATAGGGCTGTGCGGCATATTTTCAACATTTATATGCCCTGAACTTCTAAGAGTTTAAACTTATACTAAAATTCTATACTACCCTTACCTTCATATTTGGACCTCCTAAGAATTAAAATTTAGGCGCTACCATGTTTTTCTTTACTGGTTACATTCCCAAGTGATGTCTCTATGAGATGAAACACAGAGATCATAAATGGGAACCATTACATTAACAAATTAACATATCTATGAATATTATATATCTCCCCAAAGAGGCGTGGTTTGAGAAACAGCTGTATTTACAAAGTGCAACCTATAAGTATATTACATTTATAAGATGAGTAACAGAGAGAGAATACCTACTTAAGGAATAAACATTTATGGTATACTTGATTAAATTTCCAGGCATCATATTAATAAATTTTGATGCAAATAACTATTCGTAATTATTTTTTATGCCCCATCTATGGCCATCATGTTTTTCGGTCTGTGCGTCCATTCGTTCGTCCGTCCATCCGTCCGTCTGTCCCACTTCAGGTTAAGTTTTTGGTCAAGGTAGTTTTTGATGAAGTTGAAGTCCAATCAACTTGAAACTTAGTACACATGTTCCCTATGATATGATCTTTCTAATTTTAATGCCAAATTAGAGTTTTGACCCCAATTTCACTGTCCAATGAACATAGAAAATGATAGTGCGAGTGGGGCATCCATGTACTATGGACACATTCTTGTTTCTACAATATTTTAACTTTTTACCTATATTTTGATACAATCCTTCTTTGCTTTTGTAGGAATTTGTTTCTTGTTGTGATAATCTCCTGAATGAAAAATACAAACCAAGATGGGAACAGCTAAGACAACAGGTATCATTCTAGAAGTAATTTGTATTTAAAGTTGGTTATTTGGAATGAGGAACATTTATTTGAGTTATTGGATGAATGTTTTAAACACAAGATAAATTATTTCTAAAACAGCTGGATTTTTAAAGGTTGACATTATAGAGAATATATTTACAATACTTGCTATTTAGTTCCTTAGTTGTATTAGGACAGTTTGAAATTAAAATTAAGAGGTGTTTGTTGCATTAACAGAAACAACACCTAAAAAGGATTTTTTTTACTTTGATGGAAAAAAAAATAATGCCTGATTGTATTTAGAATACAGTGACTTTATTGAAATATTATTCATTATTTAAATTTACGAGTTAATGCTAATTTATTTCCTCTGCAGAATTTAGTTGGCATCAGTAGAGTGGTGAAAGCAGTTACTACATACTCCAAAGCTTATACTCATGTAGATAACAGTGTATTTACCAAATTTGTACAGAAGGATAACTTAAGTAAGAACTATTACTATTGAAATATCTAAACAGGACATGTAAAATAGAGTGTTAAGTACATGTAATGTAGAGCATTGATCAGTACATTTGTACATGTAGTGCATAGTTTCGATCAGTACATGTAATAATGTAGAGATTTGATCAGTAAATCTTGTGTAGAGTTTAGACCAGTTCAAGTAATTTAAAGTTTTGATCAGTACATGTAATGTAGATGTAATGCTGAGAGTTGATAATTCATGTTATATAGTAAGTTGATCAGAGATTGTAATGTAGATGTAATGCTGAGAGTTAATAATTCATGTTATATAGTAAGTTGATCAGGGATTGTAATGTAGATGTAATGCTGAGAGTTAATAATTCATGTTATATAGTAAGTTGATCAGGGATTGTAATGTAGATGTAATGCTGAGAGTTAATAGTTCATGTTATATAGTAAGTTGATCAGGGATTGAAATGTAGATGTAATGCTGAGAGTTAATAATTCATGTTATATAGTAAGTTGATCAGGGATTGTAATGTAGATGTAATGCTGAGAGTTAATAATTCATGTTATATAGTAAGTTGATCAGGGATTGTAATATAGAGAAGTATGAGGTTGGTTTATAATGTATAATGTGTGAAGTTTAACTTTTTCTTTTAATAGTAATTTTGAATTTTACCATGTTTTTGATTTATTTTCACACTGATTGTTTTTTATGTCCAGAAATTGACCATTTGTTGCATGTTCTTAAATTATTTGATTTTATTTCAGTTGTACAAGTTGGGAAAGTTCAGAACAAGGATGTGATTTTCCCAGATAAATCCCAGTCTTTACCATCATGGGTGACAGAATCTACTACCAGCATCAAGTTAAACAAAGCTACTCTTGGTGGTTAGTACTTGGTCATAATTTCTCTTAAAAAATAAAATCAAAATAAGTAGATACAAAACTGAAATGATATTTCCTTAATTTCATATAAAGACCTGTACATATATATCTATAAGAAATGAAGAAAAAAATGAATATTGTTTTAAGTGCAGGGTTGAAAGACTTGTATTTATAAGTTTAAAAAAAAAAATGAATATTAAGTTTGAAAGACTCATAATTTACAAGAAATGAAGAAAATGAATATTAAAATACAGGTTTTTAAGAAATGAAAAAAAAAATATTATTAAGTTGAGTACAGGATTAAAGTCTTCTATTTATAAGCTCAAAGAAAAAAATTAAATTAATGCATGGAATATATGGGACTGAAGTATAAAGATAAAGCAAAAATTTTAAGAAATCTTAGAAAATTGTGAGCCTCCATAGGATAGCACATATCATATCCATACTATTGTAGAAGTATTAGTACTAATAAATACTGTATTTGTCATATGTTGTAGGTCAGCAGCCAATAGGATATAGTAGTACTTACTACAGAAATATTTCGAATCTTTTCCATCAGTATTTATTGGTTGATGGGTAAGTTAAAGTCAGTAAAAAATATGATTTTATAGTAATGAAATGTACATAATAAAGTTTCTTGCATATGTAGTATACACAAATAAAGGAAGCTGTGTGTGTGTTGGATATATTTCAGTTAGATTGCAAACCAACAATAAAATGTAACAAAGGACATTTAGATCAACCTACGACATTAGTCAAGTGCCTATACCATATGTCACACTCTAAATGCATCTGGACCATGTTTGCATAGATTTCATACAAACATCATATGAACAGAGCCAAAAAACAAGATCTTGTGAAATACTGAAAGTTAATATATGTACAAAATTTCAATAAAAAATAAAAAGAAAAAAATTGAATGAAACCATCCCGTATGAAATTAGAAGGCGTATTACGCCTGGAAATAAGGCGTAAACCAGGCGTAAGTGGTACTTACGTGTATAGATCCAGGCGTAAGGGAGCAGGAAACGTAAATTTGTAGTCCTTACGGGCGTAGAAAAAAGTGGTAAACCTGGCGTAAATTGAAATAAGCAAGGCGTAAATTTTCTTACGGGCGTAAAACTGTTGGTATGGCGTAAATCATAATACCCATAATGCTTTGTTTAAAGGATCATGGGAATTTTTTTCAAAATTTGGCTCTTTGGTTTTAGTTTGCATTAGAGTTGGACTTATGGCAGCTTCATATGTTCAGGGATAATTAGCTTGTTTTGTGCTTTTTGAAAGAATTTGAAATTGGAAATATGGAATCAAATTGATTAATAAAAATTGTGAAAAAATGGAAAGTAAAACATGGTAAATAATAATTATGTGAGTATAACCTAAGTTATTAAGTTTTAAGTTCTAACAGTAATTTTGAAATCCCAAAACCTTTAACCTTGGATAATAACATTAAAATTTTTTACATGAAGTTAAATTGCAGTATTATCATTATATTTTAAAGGACATTAATTTATAAAAAACTTAGTTAATTAAAATGCTTAAGTTTTATTTCAAGAAAAATTAATTGTCATAATTCTTATTTAAACTTTAAACTTATTAGCCAGTGGCAGTGTCTGTCTAAAATGTATTTATTTATATATTAGCTTCATCAATGGTTAATATTTCCAGTTTTATGTCAAACAATGAGAAATTAAAGCAACAGTACAGAAGTTTGTATTAAATACACAAAAGAACACAGCTAGGGTAATACACTGATTTGAAATAAGTGTAGTATTATGTAAGGATATTACGCCTGGTTTATTTATTGACCCGGCCTACTCATTTGCATATTACGCCTGGTTTTTCTCTGGACCAGGCGTACTCATTTAAATATTACGCCTAATTTTACGCCTGGTTTCCGCCTCAGTTACGCTTGGTTTCCGCCTGGTTGACGCCTGCACATGCATTCCTTAAACACTGCAATGACGCCCTGATAAAGTATGATTTTTACGCCTGGTTTCCGTGTCATATACGGGCGTCACAGTTCGTACAGGCTACCTGCCCAAGTCTTAAAATCTCCATGGACAAGGACAACCAATGCATCTCTTATACATGCTATAAGTGTTTTTATTCCAATATACAATGACTCTGAATGAGGGTATTTGTGCTTAAATGCTAATTTTGACTCCTCTGAATACCAGGTTTGAGGTATAAAGCGTATGAAATTTAGAATATAAAGAGTCAGTGTAACACCTCTCACGGGGAAAATATCCTGTAAATTGGGAAATATGAATGTAGGGCTATTTTGTATATTTGTTTTAGGTCACATCAATTCTATTATTCAATTTTTATGGCATTTTATCTAATTTTTTATTCAATCTATTAATTCACAAAATTGTTTTGTTTTTCTCACATGTTGCTTTATTTTCCAGTGGAGTGAGGCTGGTCAATAGTAGCTATGATGTAAACTCGGTAGTCATAGATTTCTCCATTGAACCAGCTCCTTCTAAACTCAACTCACCATTAATTGCAGAATTTGAGTATTTATCTGTAAGTTGTTGAAAAATTTAAATGTTTTTGATCATATTTTATCGTAAATTGGTAAGTGAAGCTGTAAACAGAGTTTTTTTTTTATTAAAGGTTTTATATGATAATCAAAAGTGTCTTTTTATATGCAATGCTGGCGTGTTAACCATATGTCAGAGAAATGCACGGACTTACCTGGTGAATACATGTTCAACAAAGATACATATCTGGGTGGGTGTGTTTTAAGACCTTGACTGGCTATTAAGCCCTCACACGGCCGGTAAAGAAACATACATGTTGTCAACAAGAAATTTATATATATATGTTTCTTATAATTGTGATAAATTCTATAAATATTGTGATTTTTGTAAACAACTCATTATTGGTAATAACCCATTGCCATGACGCTTCATATAAGTTTTCCACTTGACCATTTAGAAAATTTTTCAGTAAACCTTTTTTTTTAACAGGTTAATTATTCCAGTCCTATTTGTGCATTTTGGGATTTTAGTGTACTGTGAGTATAAATAAATGATGAGGTATAATTTTTAATTTATTTTTTGAAGGATAAATGATCTTAGAACCACAGCTTTAAAGGCTAGAAAAGCTATATTTTGTTAATTCATTGGCTTATGAATTTCCATAGCAGGGTAAAAAGATGTTTTTTAGACAAAAGAAGGAAAGATCAGGAAAATATATCTGCAGCTTGATTACAATAACTGCAATAAAAACCAGAAACATGCTTTATGAATTTTCAAGATCATTGATTAATTCAGATTTTTTTTTTTATCGTAAAGACTTCACAAACTAGATTTTTCCATGACAAGTTCAGTGGTTTTTTTAATTTTATTTGTGTTAAAAGTTTTTTTTATCTAGATTTTTGATCCAATGTGTTCTTTATTTATGTCATATGATTATATTAAAGGAACACACCAAATGGAGCTTGGTCAACAACGGGTGCTAGGCTGGTAAAGAGCACTGATGAAGCTGCCACATGTGAATATGACCACACAACTAATTTTGCTGTTTTAATGAGTCCAGGAAAAACAGTAAGTGACCTAATTAGCCTGTAAGACTTGTTTGTCTTTTTGTCATCTTTTGTTTTAATTATTGTTTATTTCTTCAACTGGAATAGTATACATTTTGACAAGAAATTTTAAATGGAGTTAAATTTGATAAAAATATTTCCCAAAAGAAATATTCCAAAACTTTTGACAATTGACATGCCTGTCATGAACTGCAGTAAAACAATTAGGAACGACCTGCGTTACATTTAAATACAGGAAAAACATCCAATAATAATGTATAACATTTTGTTTTATTGGTAAAGGCATATTGATTAATATGAATAATTAATTTAATGTGTAGGGTAAGACTCTTATAATCCAGCTTTACCCCGTCGACAAACCCAGTCTTGCTTCATTTTGAGTGCTTGCCATGTCCTCAGTATTTTTACTTGATTTATATTTTCAAAATGGATTGACATTTCGAACATTGGTAAATTACTGTTGCCTTAAGTAACAATTTAAACATTGAGTCATCATGATACATGTCTTTGTTGTACTTTCAGCCACCAGCAGATATTTTAGCATTGAGTATTATATCAGCAGTATGCTCAGTATATGTCTTTGTTATATTTTCAGCCACCAGCAGATATTTTAGCATTGAGTATTATATCATCAGTATGCTCAGTATATGTCTTTGTTATATTTTCAGCCACCAGCAGATATTTTAGCATTGAGTATTATATCAGCAGTAGGCTGTGCTATTTCTCTCCTGTTCCTACTGGTCACAGTTATTATATATATTGTATTTTGGAGGTGAGTATAGGTTAGATTCGGTGTAATAATGGATTCATAGTACATTGATAAGGTTGAAGAAAACTCACTTAATGATTTTTCAGTATTAGTAGCTATAACTATAGCATTCATGGTAATTTTCAGTGTTTATTCATTTAAATTGTTTCAAAATTTAAATTCTTGATATTTAATTTAAGTATGCAGATACTCTTAAAAAAAACAGCATTTTAAGGAAAAATAAAACAGTTAATTTAATAAATTCAAGTTAAACTGTTTTATAGTTTCAAACTGAGTATTGACAGGAAAAACGTTTGCAATGCGTGCATGTGACCTTAAGATGTTTTTTGGTGTTGTTGGGTTGCTGTCTCATTGGTGTATAACCCACATTTCTTTTTATAATTTGTTGTATTATTTTTCAGATATTTGAAGAGTGATAGATCAACCATACTGGTGAACTTGTGTGTTGCTTTGATTCTATCTTATACATTGTTCTTAGTTGGTGTTACACAGACAGAGAATAAGGTAAACTTTAGGAATAGACATACACAGACAGAGAATAAGGTAAACTTGAGGAATAGACATACACAGACAGAGAATAAGGTAAACTTTAGGAATAGACATACACAGACAGAGAATAAGGTAAACTTTAGGAATAGACTTATCAGGTCTAAATGGGAGATAGATTTCATATTAACTAACCAAATTGAATACTAATAAATGTTATATTTTGATTGATACCAGAAAATAAATCATAGATTTTATATTTTAGAAAAGATTGCTCAAGCGAATTTAATAAAAGATAGCTTTTCCGGTTTATTTAGACGTTTTTGCTTTGTTTGTCTTAGTATACATATTCTCCCTCTCCCTTCGTACTTAGGGAAACAATTGGTCTACTTTAACCTTTTGAATTGTTTTTTCTTCATTTCTTTCTATATGTGTTTGTCCTTCCCCAATATGTATCTGTGAATTTACAATGGATTTTATTGAAACTTTAACAAAGTCTTTTAAACATGTCCATTATGGCATTGTGCACCTACTATTTTCTGATGTTTCCTTATCCTATAGCAACACAAAATGGTATACACACATCTTGTATTTTGTATGTCCTAAACCAAAGACTAGATTTCAATGAAACTTTTAACAAGGAATTTCATAATGTTGTCATACATATATTATATAAGTTTTAATCTGAATGCTTTTTGGGGTTACTTAGGTGTACAAACAAGTAAGATCTTGTATTTGAAACTCCTCCTAAACCACTACCAGGATTGGCCATTGGAACCTCTTATTTCATTTTATCATTTGAGTGATTTTTAGTGTATATAACCTCCAAATATGAATGTAATATCTATTCAAATGGGTGTAGTTATGATATGAAATAGTGAGCTCTGCTTACAGTTTTTGTCTTGCATTGACTGAGTGAAAAAGCGAGACATAGGTATTCTTTTTCTGGCGGCAGCAGTGGCAATATATTGGTTTGTGATTAGGGCTAGTTTATGGTGAACCACTAGTGGTAGGTCAATGATATTTGGAATGCAGTTGTATTAGCATTGGCACATCTAATTACAATGGAGATTATTTGGCCCTGACCCCTCAATCATGGTCTATTGACTTTGAAACTTTTGCTTAGTTTACATGTATTAGTTTGTGATTAGGTCAGTTTAAGATGAACCACTAATGTTAAGTCAATGATATTTGGAATGCATTTGCAAGTTTCATTTTCCTTATGTCATAACTACAATCCTGTTCCCTTTTCACAATGTGACCTACCGAATTAGACTATTTACCCCTATTTGTGACATTTTTACCTATTGTTTTTGTTTGTTTTGTTCACACATCGTTGTCAATATAATGGAATTTGATGCGACTGTCGTGCAAGTGAGAGGTTTAGCTACCTTTAAAACCAGGTTCAATCCACCATTTTCTACATAAGAAAATGCCTGTACCAAGTCAGGAATATGACAGTTGTTATCAATTCGTTTGATGTGTTTGAACTTTTGATTTTGCCATTTGATTGGGGACTTTCTTTTTTGAATTTTACTCGGAGTTCAGTATTTTTGTGATTTTACTTTTTTCCATGGAGATTATATAACCCCACCCCCTCATTATGTTTCATTGACTTTGAAACTTTTACATAGTTTACAAGTTAATGTTTGTGTTTAGGTTTGTTTAAAGGGAACGACTTATGAAAAGTCAATGGTATTTAATTTTTTAGTCTAAAAATTACAGAAAATAAATTTGATTACATATATTTTCAGGATTTATGTACAGGCATGGCAGTGCTACTACATTATATTTTCCTGGTAGATTTTCTTCTGATGTTAGCCGAGGGTATAGAGGTTGCCTTTTGTGTTCTTTATGTGTTCTCAACAAGATCCAGAGTTCACTGGTTGATTCCTGTCTGCTGGAGTAAGTAATAAATTCAATGAATGCACATGTACATGAGGTAACATGTGATCTAGATACTATGAGAAAAATTAAGGGCCAAGGGTCGGAAACTGTCATATTTGCCAGTCAAGGCTGGTCCTGAAATGTCAGTGACTGAAATTGTATTTTGAATTTAGGTCATGACTTCTGATATTAATTTTAAAGTTTAAAAAAATGAACCCAACCATAAGTCTTCTTTAAATGATCGAAATTGTGTAAAAAAAAGTGTTTGAGATCTTTGGAAATAAACATGTGTCATCAAAGGAAGAGATTTTAATTGCTGTTTTTAATCTTGTTGCTCAATGGTGATCATAGATGAGCAAACACTAACATCAATTAATTTGTCTAAGTTTGATTTTTATTGATTGATCATTGGTAGCTTACTGTCCAGTGGCAAATATTTCTTGCATGTCCAGGACTTTTGATTTTTTTTATTCATTGACTGTTTATATTCAAGCAATTCAGAGAAAGGCATTTAATTATATGATGAGAACAAATTGTTATTTTTCTGCATTTTGTTATCAATTCATCTTTAAACATATTTGTAAAAATGCATTGAAATAAACAAGAGCATGTGTTATTTTCAGATTTGTGAAACATTCTTTGTTACATTATGTTCATGGCAGTGTTTGACAATGCTTTGAAATTTTCTATATATATATCTAACATAGTTACAGGAAATTCTGATCAACCAAATTTTCTTTTTAGTTATACCAGTTATTATAGTTGCTATTTCAATGGGTGCTACCAAGTTAGAAGGTTATGGAAACTCAAAATTGTAAGTTTTAATGAATGAAGATTTTTTATTTGATTAACTCCATTCCTGATGACAAAACCATAGGCACATCCTAATTTCAACAGGAAATCTGTAACAAAATGTACAAATTAGGGGAGAGGGGTACAAGGGGACAATTGTTCATACACTTTATCAATTTGAGAATTAATTTGAGTACCACAATAGTATTGCTACTTAATGTCAGACATTTTTTACTGTTATATTCCCTATATACACCATGGCATTTGTCTGGCAATAATAAAACATTCATTAATTCCACACAGAGTAACTACTCAACTGTGTTGAAATGAAACATTCTTATCTAAGGGACATGTCACAAATAAATGTTTGAGAATGTAGTTTTGCTGGCAGATGTGTGGTAGTCTTAAAGTTTTTATTTACATCTTGTCTAGACTTTATGGTGATTTAGAGCTTGACGTTCTGTATATTCAGAATTTTTTGCAATGTTTAAACTATTGTCACAAAAATAAAAACTCACATTTTAGATTTTGATAGCAGTCCTTATAATATTTGGTTTTGCAGGTTTGATGAACTAAACCCAGAAAATCACTTTGGATGAGGAAATTTATAAAGTGTTGTTCTCATTTTTTTATGCTGTATTTTCTGAAATAGCAATAATATCAACCTCACATTTTTGTTTGTGGCACAAAAATTCCATTAATAGATGCACACCAAATTTTCAAAAATTTACAGTATTGTATAGACCATTGTTTTTTAGTTTAAGAGCGTATGTTTACCTAAAGATGTCTTAAGGTTTTTTTATTGTGTTGTTTGGTTGCTGTCTGATCAACACATACTCACAACTCCTTTTATTTATGTAGATTAATATGAGTTTTTCTATTTCAGTTGTTGGCTTACTCTTGAGTCAGGTTTACTATGGGCATTTGTTGGTCCTGCTTTACTTGTAGTATTAGTAAGTATAATAGCTTAAAGTATAAAAAAAAATAAAAAAATTTATCAAATATTTTGAAAGATTAAATAAAAGTCATACTGAAACGACAATGTAGGTGCACTAGAAATGAAGAAAATCAAGAATTGTTTTTTACAAAACAAATATTGACCACTGGTCATGTGATTTAGTTATAATTGAGCCTTACATCCCTTTCAACAAAGAGATCAATTTTGGTTTATCTTAAAGAAATTTTGAATTTTCAGATAGCTTTACTACATTTTTAGAGCATTTCAATTGTTTACATTGTATTTGGGATTAATTTTTTAATACAGTTGAAATTTCAAATAACTTAAATACATTTTTACGAACATTTTAATTGATAATATTATATTTAAGTATTATTATTTTATTTGTCTGTTTTGAGAGAGAATAAACTGGTTTGTGAACTTATATAGCAAATATATTCAAAACAGTTTATTTAAAAGTTATGAAAAAAAAAAACATGTTTATGTCTACATGAGTATTTGATGATTTCAGATAAATTTAATCATCCTCATCCTGGTGCTAAAAACTATGTTTAGTAGTCATTCTATGTTGACAAAGACTGCCAAACAGCAAGCAAAGTAAGTTTATATTGATCAGATATTGTGTATATTGTTTCTTGTACAGAACAACTACAGTACTAAGTTTCTGTTTTCAATTGAACATAGATAAAAAATATTTTGTCTGCAATAATAATTACTGTTTTATTTTCTTGTTCATTAAAATACTGAAATTTTACCAAACTGTTTTATCAGAAATTTCATGACTTTATTGTTTTCTGTAACAAAAGCTTAAATTTTACCTAGACTTTTCAGATGGGGAGAACATTTTAAAATCAATCTGATGAGATTTTTTCCTTAAAAACATGCTACCTTTGTTTTGTTGAGTTGCCGTGTCACTGACACATATCTTCTCCTTTTTTCATAGTAAAATTTATCTATTTTCTTGATTTTGTTTGCAGAGCTGGTATGAGAAGTATATGTGTTATATTGCCATTATTTGGTGTGACATGGGTGCTTGGTGTTTTTTCTGTCAATGAAGATTTAGTAGTATTTCAGTATTTATTTGCAATATTCAACTCATTACAGGTTAGTAAAAGTAGTATTAGTTAAAATTAAACTTAATTTTTCTTTATTGAAGAAACATTAAACGATACAAATTCAATATAATTATCTGCCCTTGATTTTAAAAAGATTTTTTTCTAAAAATTTTAAATACACTTAACGACACTTAATTTTTTGATATTTTAATCTTTAAATTACTAGTTTTAGATCTTTCTTTTGTATATTGAATGATACTACGTAAATAATTTTTAAACCAAAAAAGTATTTTTGCAACATGCCCAGAAGGGATGCTCAGAAAAAGACAACCGATCTACTTTAATTGTTTTCTCAAAGGAACTATCAAGTATGTGGAATCTACTTGACAAACATGAATGGACTTTTTTTTTAACATCCACAATTTATACCAACCTGATTATAGATATCACTCATAAAGTTCCCATAGAGATGACTGCAATATTTGCCTTCTACAAAAAATCCATTCCTTTTATACCAAATGTAGTCTTTTGAGTAAAAACTTTAAATGTCACTCTTAATATTTTGGATATATTTGGAAGTTATAAGCTTATAATTTACAATGTATCATTTTGGAATAGTGACATATACCCTCAGATCTGAAAATTTTGTTTGTCCAGTAAACCTTGTCTATTCACTCTGTAACAATTTTAAATGCACCTTTGTTGGATTAATGCATCTAGTTTTTCACAAAAAAAGCTAAATATTGTTTAAATATTTAATATTAAAAATATGGTCTAGTGTTATGGATGTAAAATATTGAGAATTTCCAAGCTTGACAAAATTCATGTCTTAAAGACTATTTATATTACTGTGGATTCATTATTATTCATTGGAAACCAATTTTCGTGGGTTTCATGGATACAGATTGCATTTCTGTAAATATAGACAATGCAATTTCCCATAGGAACTCCCTTTGCGGCTAAAACTGTGCCACTTTTACTATGAAGTTTCGTAAAAAGTTATATCCTAAAATGGAAAGTTGATATGCACTACTATTTAATTCAAAGGTCAAAATATAGGGCTGTGTGGCATATTTTCAACATTTATATGCCCCGAACTTGTTAGAGTTTAAACTTAAACTAAAATTCTGTACTACCCTTACATTCACTTTGTGCCTACTTCAGAATTCAATTTTCAACGCAACAATATGTTTTTATACTGGTAACATTCCCAAGTTATGTCTCTATGAGATGAAACATAGAGATCATATCTGGGAACCAGTACGTAAACAAAACGAAATATCTATGAGTATTATATATCTCCCCAAAAGAGGCATGGTTTGAGAAGCAGCTGTATTTACAAAGTGCAACCTATAGGTGAACCACAGATTTGAATATTCAAGGAAGTACAAATTTTCTAAAGGTTTGTATGCAGACTTTGGCAAACCACGAAATCAAATATCCAAATAAATGTAGTATGTTGGATTTAACAATAATAATGCATGGTTCAAAACGGTATTTAAACAAATGCAGACATTCTCTATTTGTCCATTTGGTGTTCAAGTGACAATCGGATTCTCACTTAAATTAACATTTATTTTCCACATACTCTGGTTTGATTCACAAATAAACTTGCTTGTCTAAAGTTTTTTTTTTCATTTCATCATGTAATAGCAACTAAAATGTTTAACAACTCTATTTCTTCTTTTTCAGGGAGTTTTCATATTTTTATTCCATTGCTTCTTCAACAGACAGGTAAGATTAATGGAGATAATTATTTTACTTGGGGATATTAACTTTGTTTGAATTCAATTTGATGATTTTTTTTGTTAGTGTTATTTAAATTCCTTATTTTTCTTGCAATCAATGAATAAGTGTTTAGGTCTTTGCTATCACACTTTCACTCAAATGCAATCAACATATTACATTTTACTTTGTTTGGGTAAAGTCACATGATTTAGCTGTTAAAATGTTGTTAATTACCTTCTAATTTATTAGGTAAAGTCATATTATTAATGTGTTGAAACTGTTTTCTTGACATCTAGTAACGTCATGAAGATTGTCTGGTATTTATTTTGTAGGTTAGGGAAAGTATACAACATAGTCGAAGAAGAAAAAGAAGTACTCATATAGATTTATCTAAGTCTACCTCACAATCATCTAAAACAGTAAGTAGTAAGCTTAGACTTCTAGGTGCTAAAATTATCTCCACAACATCAAACTTATCTTAGGGATATTTCATTAAAATGATGTGTAAATTTCAATCTTATAAAAATACAGATCCTGTGTCCATGCTTTGCTCACAAGGATTAGACAACATTCCATTCTACTTTCTCATCTGGTAATTATTATATCAGCCAATGAAATTTCAGCTTTCAAATTTTTGAACTTTTCTACATCATAATTGCTGTATGTGCCCTTATGAGAGCATTGTTTCTTGCCACCACATCTAGTCTCTTAAACATAGTTTTTGAATTTTTATGCCCCCGCTGTCTGTACGTACATCCCAAAATTGGTTTCCGTTCTCTAGCTTGAGTTTGCCTCAACCAAATGTTATGAAACTTATACACAATGCTTATTACCACAAAACACAAATCAAATTTGAATTTTGGTGGCGTCACTTTAACCGTTCTAGAGATATGCCCCTTTATAAATGGAAAAAATTGCAAAATTTTTATTTTCTTCTAAATATCAAGTTATTATTTTTAAAATTGGAGTTATCTTCCTTTGTCCATGATTATAGTTGAATCAACTACAATCAATGCTTTATACAATGCAATGTTTAATTTTGACTTCCACTGATAAAACACAGATCAAGTTGAATTTGGGTAGTGTCCCTTTAACCATTATTGAGTTATGCCCCTTTATAAATCGAAAGATTGCAAAATTTTTAGTTCCATTCTGTAACTTAAGTTTGCCCCAACCAAACATTATGAAACCTATACACAATATTCATTACCACAAAACTAAAATCAAATACAAATTTTTTGTTTCCGTTTTCTAACTTTAGTTTGCCTCAACCAAATGTTATGAAACTTATACACAATGCTTATTACTCCATAATACAGATTAAGTACGAAATTTGGTGGCGACACTTTTACCATTCTTGAGTTATGTCCCTTTATAAACATAAATATGATATGCAAGCGGGGGCATCATCTGTGTCCACATGTGGATACTATCCACATTTATTTTAATATAATTATATATGTATTGTTGTATTTTATTTTTTTGCAGAAAAATTTAACTAGAGAATCATCTGAAAACATTCACAATAACTTTGAGGAAGACTTAAAAAGTAAGTTGTGCATGCTTATTATGTGTATGATGTTTAGACATAATGGAATTCCCTATTTTTCAAGAAAAAAATTTCTTGTATAATTTGGTTATTTACTTTAAAATACCATATTTATTAAAACAAACCAAAACATCTTGTATACTAGTCCAGTACCAGTAACAGTCAGAAATTCCCAGTTATTTTTAAATAGCTTTTAACAAGAAATACTTTTCATAATATTCTTTTAACATGAACAGGGTTACCAAAAGTTAGGTCAAGGACCATAGACTTGGATCTTAATTCCTTCCGAATCTCTCAGACTTTCGCTCAATCTGAACAGATCTCAAATTTATGTCACCTGAAATCAACAAGTTACACTGCATTGGAGGGGATCATAGAAATTGATTCCAAAATTAATGAACTGTTTTTATTCCTTTGAAGGAAATTTTATGTATAAGTTTATCTTAAAACGGTCAGTTATTCTAAAAATCGAGGGGATCATAAGTGTTGCTGTCAGTGAGTCATGTCCTCGCATGCTTATCTTCCCAAAACGTGGTAAAAGGACAAAAAAAATCAAGATTTCCAAGTCTTGATTGGTTCAAACAAAACTAAGTTTTTTAAAAATAGAATAAAGAGTATTTTTATGAAGATAATAGCAGAATTCTGAATTTACACAAAGCGTCAATTACTGCATAAAATGCAAGGTAACTGGAAACTGATGGTAAATGGTCCTCAACTAGTACCGTTTATTTTTCTAAAGAAGATAAACATATGATTTCCTATCTCATTAAAAAGTAGTGGGAGACAATGTTTATCCAACTTTTAATTTCAGAGTTTGACTTTGGACTGTTGTCCTTCATATTTTAAGATCCATGCATTTACCAATATTGTTTTTGTTTTACAGATTCCAAGAACCCTTTCCTTCAGGCTGACAATCAAGTTCAGCAGATTGTTGACAAATTTAAAAAGACTGATCATGATGGGAAAGAGTATAATCTCCATAAAGAGGCTGGTATTAATATAGACGATATTAAAATCACCAATATAATGAGGGAGGCAGAAATTAATGACTCAAGAGATCTGGGTTCTTCAGCACGTCATAGTGCATCAGGCAGTGAAAAAAGAGTGAGATTTTTTTTTAGTTCAAACTTTGTGTCGTATTTTGTAGATCATACTCATAAATTAAAATATTATTTTCTCCTTAAAAGTTTATTTTTACCAAACATTTATTTTCTTTTTTCATCATTTATCAAAATCAGAATTTGTGATTATTTATGACATATTTTGATATTGTTTGTCAGTGGTTCACATACAGCAACTTTGAAAGGCACTATCAGCACTAGATGAATTTGTTTTAAATTGTTTATATTAGACTGACTGCACTCCATGATCATGAACCATATTAGACGTTGTGGCAAAGGTTGGTTACATGTGACTTTTTTTTTGAAATTCAAATTTCTACTACACAGGATCTCCTTTACTATCGTTGGTGAAATCTTTGGAATATCTTTTTAAGTACAACTGTATCTTATATGTTATTTCTTCAGAAATCTGATAGAAGCAGTACAGAAAAGTCATCCTATGGATCTCGTGAAGGTGTGAAATACAAAGCATCATCCAGCTCCTCAAGGACGGTGACAACTGCTACAACTAGGTCTACTGACCTAGATACAAGACATTCCAGTAGGTCCAGTGACCTGAGGCATTCCAGTAGGTCAGAGGAAGACTATGAGGTAAGAAGAAGATAATTTACAACTTTATCTATGACTGATAAACGGCATGGGAAATGAAATGTAGCAAATTTAAGACATTCATGGAACAAGCTTAGAAATAATGAACTGAACAATTTTTAAAAATTGTGTTAGTGTTTTCATTTTAAATTTTGCTCTTGACATAAAATTATAGAGCCGATATGTAATTTTTTAGTTAATATCTAAACTACATATGTAATTTTTTAGTTAATATCTAAACTACATATGTAATTTTTTAGTTAATATCTAAACTACATATGTAATTTTTTAGTTAATATCTAAACTACATATGTTTCTTCAGGGAATAGTCTTTCTTTTTATCTAAATAACCAATTAAAATTAAATAAAGATGTTTTATTCATATAAGGACATTAACAGTTTTAAAAATTTCCCCTTTTAACCAATGGAGGTTGTTTTAATGCCTTTCTGCTTATCATTTGGAAAGAAATGCTTGTACATGCTAAATTATGCTTTAAATAGGCTTAAATAATAGTTATATTCACATGCCTAGTAAATGACAGTTTTCACTTAGTCAAATGCTTATACACTGTTTTATTGATATCTTCTCCATATATACGTAGCTGAGGAATCAAATTAAAAATTAACTTGTGGGACCCTCACAATTCTTTGATAATTGATCATTTCACAAGTAGCTGCATTGATAGTTACATATATCAAATCAATACAGAAGTTTTGTAATTAAATCAAGCCAAAGGCTTTTCTGTGTTGGTGATAATTTTAATCATTAGCCAAAAGGGCACTTTAAAATAGGTTATAAATGTTTAAAATACTTAACTGTAAAAATACTTTAAAATTGCCAAACATGAGTTATAAAATAAAGAGTTCAGGCCTTTCAGTCAAAATACTTTACTCATTACTTGTACATGTAGTACAAAGTTTGTGCTTAAAACACCATATAAAGTATTTTGATTGGTTGATTCCTGAGTCAAAGTACAATAATTGTATTCTTAATATTTATGACATTAACCATAGTAGAATCAGTAAAGCATTTTTTGTGAAACATTTGTGTGATATATTTTTTATGACCTATTTGCAAAATAAGTTCTATATTCTAAATACATTAGCTCACTTGGCCTGTATGGCTAGTTTGAGCTATTACCATCTTTTTACATTCATCGTGTTGTCTGTTATCCTTTGTTCACTGACCATTGTGAACTTTTAAAAATATTTTTTTCTCCAAAACCTCTGTGTCAATTATACCAAATTTGACCTGAGTCATACTGAAGAAGTGTATTTTAAAATGTCTTTCATATTGGGAAATTTTCAAAAGATTTAAAAAAAAGAAGACAAAATTGTCTTCACTTTAACTTTCCATTTCACCTATTCATCTAGTAAATAGAGCTACCACAGTAATATAAAATGATATAGACTATTATATAAAATGAAAGGAAAAATAATTGTTACTTTTTAATTAGTCTAAAATGAGAGAGAACCAAACAAGATTAGAAAGCATATACAGTGGTACATATGAGGTAACACACTATAACACAGGGAATTGTAGTTATATTATTAACATTTACTTCTTTCCATATTACAGCTGTTCTACACTATTATGTTGTACAAACATTTGGTTAATTTGCTTTCAAAAAATGTAAGGAGAAATTTGCTCATGGATTGCAACTGAATGAAAATTGAAACATTCAATATCTATAAACACACTGAAACTCTAATGTAGGTGTCAATATATTGTGTAATGCTTGAGCGAACCTCTGAACTAATTTGGCAAGGAAACCAACCAAACTTTTTGTTGAACATACTGTTGCAGACTAGCTGCAATATTAAAAGGTGATTAACCTATTTAATTCTATTAACCCATCAAGTTTCTACAGAACATGCTCAACTTTAAACACCATTGGTTTATATTTGTATAAAGTATTATTATGCTTAAATAGTATTTATTTATAGGCATATTATTATTCTGCTTATTTTGACATACCATTTTATTTAAGTTTTATGCAAAAGCTCCATGCTTACAAGTCTATTGATTTAGGAAACAGGTAGTTTTATGTGGTAAAAATCTTTATTTAATGATATAGATATATGACTGAAAAGAATTTGAGAATATCTAAATATTTCAATATTGATTCAGTTCGATCATCAGAATCATGTAATTTAAAGCATTAAACTTATATGAAAGAAATGGATTTATTAATAATTCCTTCAATTCTTAAAGCTAACAAACACACATCTCATCTCTGAAGTTTTTTAAAACACATGGTTTAAAATTGCACTTCACTTGATTTGAATTTTCCCAGTTTATTTGATCAAACAAACAATGAAAATGTGTGGAAATTTATGGGGTGTTATATACATAAAACTCATAAAATTCATATGTTTTTGCACAGCGGAACATTTATTTTTATTTCCAAAACAGTAATATTCCTTTTCCTATTTAGTCAGTGAAGGGAGTTCAGCAGTTTGACTCATCATTGATTATCTGTCCAAGTTAAGTTTTATAATAAGGACTTGATTTAATTTACTACGAGTCAAACTGGAACAATGTTTTATTTTGGAAATGTTTTGAATAGTAATTGAGCTTATACCAAATAAATGGTCCTTTTGACTGCTATTGTACACACAAATTATTGCCTTATGGTTCATAAGGCAAACATTCAGATTTAAGCTACAAGTCATCACAATTATATTTTTTGTTAGCTCAGAATTCAGATAGAAATGAATGCTCATATCAAAGTCAGTCATCTTGACTTAAACATTTTGTCAATGATTCATCGAATTGAAATATGCTTTGACTTTTTCAGATCAAAGTAAAATATGAAAAAGGGTGATGGGGGATAGGTGCCATATGCAACTGTTTTGTTTCTGAAATATTTTAAGTAAATAGTTGTGTTTGTTTATGTTGGGTTTGTGTATGAAAAAGTAATATCAACTAAATTAAACCTTAGAAGTTTGATAAAATCAGGTTGAAATATTTATACATATACACATATTTTTACAGAGAAAACTTAAATCAGAAAAATCTAGGTCTAATCAGTACAGTCCTAAACAGCGAAAGAAAACTTTTGAGGTAATCATTGGTTGTGGTGTCAAATGTGTTTTACAAAAATCAATTGTGTGTCAGTTAACATTTAGATGAGCACATATATGATTCGTTCCCACCAATAATAAAAAAAAAATTTTGTGTGTTGATACAGTGTGTGTTAGACTTAATTTAACAAATTTAGTAAGCTTCTGTTTGCTGTTCCCTCTCCACGCTATTAGATTAGATAGGTCAAATTGTTTTCCTTTGAAAAACAATGATAATAACATGTATTTCCCTGATTGAAAATTGGAGTTTCCAGAAGTTTTTACTTTGTCCATTTGTTTAAAAAATTTGTCCATCCTCAATTTTTTAGCACTATTTCAGCATCAGTATGCTTTTCAATGCAGTATTTCTTTTATCATTATTTTGCCATTTTTAAGACAGTTTACAAAACCTGTGTCCAATATAAGATAATTTTTTTACACTTTTTGATTCCACTGAGGAGTACCTAAAGATTCTTCAAAATAAGTTATATTAATATCCTTGGGACCCTTAATGATATGTCAGTTATCTAGTTTTTATACGCCCGTCAATTTTTGACGGGACGTATTATGGTATACAAATGTCCGGTACGGTCCGTCTGTCTGTCCGGCGTAACTTGAGAATGACTTATCCAAATTACATGAAACTTAACATAGTTGTTTTTTATGATGGTCAAACGATCTGTATACTTTTTGGTGAAAATAAGATTAAAACTTTTTGAGTTACAGGACGTAGTAACTAAAACAGGTGTGTGTTTTTTTTCACATGTCGCGCCGTATCTCAAAAACAATTTATGATTATTGCTTAAAACTTTACACACTTCTTAGTTATATTAATCTTAAGATCTGTATACTTTTTGGTGATGATTCAAAATTTTATTTTAGAGATATTGAGTATTTTGTTAAAAAAGGGGGAGGGGTTTTTCACATGTCGCACCGTATCTCAAAAACAGTTTATGAATATTGCTTAAAACTTTACACACTTCTTAGTTATATTAACCTTAAGATCTGTATACTTTTTGGTGATGATTCAAAATTTTATTTTTGAGTTATTGAGTATTTTGTAAAAAAAGGGGGAGGGGTTTTCACATGTCGCGCCGTATCTCAAAAACGATTTATGATTATTGCTTAAAATTTTACACACTTCTTAGTTATATTAATCTAAAGATCTGTATACTTTTTGGTTTTGATTCAAAATTTTATTTTTGAGATATTAATTTTTTTTTTTTTAAAGGGGGGTTTTCACATGTCGCACCGTATCTCCAAAATGATTTATGATTATTGCTTAAAATTTTACACACTTCTTAGTTATATTAATCTAAAGATCTGTATACTTTTTGGTTTTGATTCAAAATTTTATTTTAGAGGTATTGAGTTTTTTGTAAAAAAAAAAGGGGTTTTCGCATGACACACCGTATGTCAGAAACTATTTATGCTTATTGCATAAAAATTCACACACAAGATGACGGGCGTATCATGCGCTCATGGCGCAGCTGTTTATTATCAATTATGAAAAGAATATGATTTTAGATAAAAATTGTATGGTCAATGTATGAGGATTGGGTAGGGAGCAACAAACAATTCTTTTTCTATACTTAGTTTCATAGATAACTTGCCAAATAACTATCCTAAGTATAATTAACATCTTATGTCAAGCAGCATGTTTTTTTTTTATCTGATCTGATTTCCTTTCATTACAGTATATACACTAATCATTTATAGTTCAATTTACTAAAAAAAGATGAATTTAAGTTACTTAACTTAATCTCATAACAAGGTATAGCTATGATCATTGACTAAATAGTTTCCATGACGTTGAATGTCAGTATTCAATTGGGAATACTTGCTATATTAATACACATCCATGTCCACAACCAGTTCACAGAAAATATAAGACCAACAACTGCATTTAATATGATATGCAATTTTTCTCAGCTTTTGTATTTTCAAAGGAATGATTTGATATTTGGTCTGGAACTTTGTAAATTTTATTTTTACCGTATAAGCAACTTTCAGATCTGGGGAACAATCAATTTCTGTTTGAAGATACTTTTGATGCACTATGAACATGGAATTTCATTTAAAAATGTATCAGATGCATCGAAATAAGCCCCATGTTTGAAATATATCAGATGCATCGAAATAAGCCCGATGTTTGAAATATATCAGATGCATCGAAATAAGCCACATGTTTGATGATGCATAGAACAGACACAGGAAATGTCTATATTTAACAGGTCTTTTTTTTTTTGTCTATGTGAAGATGAAAATCTTCCATTGATATGTGCAGGACAATGCCATCAGCTTTGCACATGCTTTTTGAAACATAATACAGGTTATTTGATCATATAATTTTATAGAACATTATAATTGTAGATTGCATTGTATTTTAACATTGTTTCAGGGATATAATCAAGGCACTGTAGCCTTGAGCACAATGATATTATATATATTGCACAAAACATATTCAGTTTGTGTTTTGAATTTTGTATTGTAGATTGGCAGTTTACATTAAAAACACAGGTATCAGTTGATGCATGGGGAAGTCAAATTTAAGGATTTCTGCTATCTGTTAATATACAATAAATTTGTGACATTTAATTGTAAACAGAAAATCAAATTGAAATAGACCTTTTAAAGCTATAATTTATTGAGATTCATTTCAGTTCATTCTAAGAATATTTTTTTTAAAGTTTTATTTCATTTTACTTTTCCTGAAAGATGTGAGAAAATATCTGCTAGGATTGTCTAGATATAGAGATTTTTTTCTTTAATTATTTGGGTATTTTAAATAAAAAAAGTTTCCATAATGATTGAAAAATCAAAATTAAGATCTGCAGATATCCTTAATTGAATAAAAAGTTATTGCTACAAAGAGAAATATATTTATCAGATTGTATGTGTCACAAGCTTTGTTTTGTATATGTCTTCAAGTATAAATTTCATATTTATTAAATTACCTACAATATTATGCTGCTTGCATTGCTGCTCTGTATCTGTTGACTCTGAAGCTAGTTATAAGTTACAGTACAATCTCAGAAGCTAGTTATAAGTTACAGTACAATCTCTGAAGCTAGTTATAAGTTACAGTACAATCTCTGAAGCTAGTTATAAGTTACAGTACAATCTCTGAAGCTAGTTATAAGTTACAGTACAATCTCTGAAGCTAGTTATAAGTTACAGTACAATCTCTGAAGCTAGTTATAAGTTACAGTACAATCTTCATTTACAAAATATCTTTACTTTTGTATCCTATTATTTTGATTCAACTACTGAAAGAATGAGAAAACTTAATTATTGCAATCTTTCTGATAGGCATATCTATTATTAAGCTCCAAACATGAAGGAAAAAGCATTTTGCATTTATGAAATTTGGCAATATGAAAGGGCTATCAAAAAGTTGCAAATTTACATTTCCTTTAAACTGTACAATATTTTGTAATATAGGTGACCGGTTTGGTGCCTTAGACCTGGCTTTACTTGATGTTTTTACTTGGAATTTTATTTATCCAAAATGAATTTGAAAGTTATTAATTTATTCAGTTAGTTGGAAATCAAATTCTTTCCCATTTTTGTAAATAACTTTGAATATTCTAATATTTATAAAATGATTTTTTTTTTACGTATGACTTTGGTCCTATTTTTCAGCCATGTTCATAGCTCGGTGGTCATATTTTTTTTGGGAATATGAATTGCAAAGCAGTTAATTTTTTTTCGTGCATATTTTACAGTTTTCCCTCCCATACATTTTTCAGGGCTATATTTTTATAAAACTTTTAATAAACCAATAAAAAAAAAACTATCAGAAACTAGTTATTATAAATCAATAATATTTCACTGCTATAATTCTCTTTATTTTAAAACATTGCTGTTTATATATTGTTGACCATGCCCTAGATTTCTCACCTGAACGACTGAAATTAAAGTATCCTTCTTTCAAGTCATTTAGGGGATAATCCAGCTTTATTGTATATTACAATCAAAATTAGTAAAGTTTATGATAAGATATATGCATGGATGTTGATAATTTTTTTGTGAATTTTGCTTATACCAAATTAAAAATATTAAGTTTTACTTTGCAGTTTAAAACATTCAATGATTTCTACAAACATGGGATGTGTTAGCAAGATAAAAAGGAATTAGTAATTTTGACCTGCATTCCTTATTCCACATCGGCAGAATTCCAACTGTACATGTATTTTACCATACTTTTTGATGTCAAATTATGATAGGAAAAATGTTGCTTGCAAAAATTGTATTTGAAGCTGAATGGAAAACTAAGTTATAGACTTTTAGAAACAAAATTTAAGGCAGTGTTTGAAAAGCAGAAAGATCCACATCTTTATTTTTAGGCATATTTTGATTATTGATTATAGGTATAAGATTCTGCCGAGGAAGAGTAAATTTTAAAATGATACTTTCTGCTTTTAGCCTGGTCCATCTCATAAGAAAGGAGGTTCTCATTGGGGGAAGACAAAACAGAAAGTACCATCAAAGAAACCGAGGTCCCATGATGATGAAAGAATTCACGAAAAATCACATCACAAGAGAAGTCGACATCGTGATCGATCAGAAATGTATGAAGTTGATTATTATGACAACCCTGCTCATCAATCACATCACCGCAGCATGGATGACGTTAACATGCAATACATGGGATACCCACAACCGTTTGTCAGGACATATGATCCTTTAAGGACACCACACGGCTATCATCATCCTGATGTTCCTTGGTATGAAGTCAGACGGAATGATTACTGTTGATTTCAGCATTTGCTAGCATTTTTATTACCATGTCTTTCAATTGAGAACAAAAATAAAAAGGTGCTTAAATGAATGGAATAAATTGTTTACTTCATGCTTAGAAATGTGTTGTGAATCCAATCATTAATTTTTTCACAATTTCATAAAATATTATACTTTTTTTTCTCTAATTCTTTGACAATTTATACCTTTCTGCACTCATTGTATAAAAAAAATTTAATCAACGTGTGGTTGCCGGTGACCTCAGAAGATGATTGGATGAATTAAAGGGTCATAACCTTTATCAGCTCAAAATATGCTAACAGGTGTTAATGAAATTGACAAATTGTGAAATGTGGAAGGCACTCGAAGGGGGTTTTGGTTTAACAAAAAATGAAAATGTATTTTTTAATCATTAGAGAAACAGATTCTTACATAGTTACTCGTGAATTATCGATTTATCCAATCTCGATAGTTAAATTATAAATTTTAAAGTCCTCTCCAAGGCTCAGACTTTAAAATTGATAATTTAACTATCTCGATTGGATAAATCCGATAATCCACTGGTATCAATGTAAGAATCTATATGTATGCATTATAAACTAAAGATTATTTATTTTTATAAGACTTTCAATGTTTGATAGAGAAATAATTATTACTGAAAATATATTGTGGTAGCTTGTGAAAAATTCATTCGAATGTTTATTCATGTATAGCAATATCATTACAAAAAAGCATAAAACAAATAGAATTGTGTTTATAACTTTGAAAATTCAAGTAAACATGGTAAATCATTGAAAAGGCTTTCTATTTAAGGTTGTGATGTTTATATACCAGCATATATGATACTTATTATAGGGGTTTCACATGTTGATCCAGTCATATTATGTTATAAGCAAGCGATGTATAAAATGCAACTACCAATGATTTTTTTTTATTTCATTAAACAATGGTGACCCTTGTATTGCATGTCCAATTTTAGTCTGAATAATGTCACTTGCAATTAAAGCAATTATCATACACCACTTGCAAGTTGTAGGAATTTACCATTAATTAAAGTTATTTTTGTGTCGATATTACCTGATGACTTTTGAAATCAATTTTAATCTGTGGAGTCAAATCTCAAATGTTTTGTGTCGAAAAGCTACAAAGTTATGGGAAAATTTTTGATTTACTTCGTTGATGGACAAACTCGAAATTGATGTATTCTCAACCTAAAGGATGGTCATTATAGAGCTTACGCAGAGATTAGAATATTTTTTATGATATTTTTTTTTACGTTGTACAGGTAAAGTTGTTTTATGATAAAAACTGTTATATATTTTTTATGTCAAACAGCTGTTATTACTTAGTTTGAATGAAATACTCCACATGACAGAGTATTTTTGCTATTAGACCCATCTCAGGGAATATGTCTCGTTATGAAATCAAAATGATAAAAAAAAAAGAAATCCATTGTGTGATACATGTTAATTTTTGTTATATGTGATTGTTAAGTTATAATCAAACATATTATTAATCAGCTGTGTGATATTATATAAGCTTGATTGTATAATAAAAATGTAACGTAATATTTTATAAACTATATTTACTGAGAATGTGAGATAAATTTATAAGAATTCATCCAAGTCTAGTGAGAAAATTTCAACTTTTCAATGATTCATTACGCTGATTGCAGCAAAAAAGTAATATGTTACAGAACTTTTGTTTTAACTAAATTTTATATGCCCTTATTCATGGAGATTACATGTTCATTAGTTCTAAGTCTATGCAGAGCTACTATATTTCATTAATGATTTCATTTGGAGACTTATAATTATCAGCGCAGTACAAACAATCATGTATTAAATGATAAAACTTTATGGCATAGCTTTAGATCAAAGTTTAATTATTGATAGATTGTCTTGTATCAGATCTAAGGAAAACAAGTTAGAAATGTTTTTGATAGTTTTGATAGTGTGTATAATTAGGTACCTACATTTTGTACATGTATAACTTGAATTATGTTTAAAAAAACCTGTTTAAACAAACTAGTAGATAGGTTTTACCTTTTACTTAGTGTAATAGAAAGTCCAGTATAACTATTAAATCAGCAGGATTTTATATTGGATGCTTCAAGGAATTAAAAAGTGAATTATTTTGTAAATGTCAGAGAGTACTGATGCCAAATTATTTGATATATCTAAAGCAATTGTTGTAAGGACACCCTGACTTTATACTTAAACATCCAAATTGAGGACAGTCATTGGGTATTGTCAACATTGTATGATTGTTACAAATTCTGTATAACATTTTAGTATGCAATATAAGTGTCTCATTATATGCTTTTCCATGTTTATATAAGCATTAACATTTATAATGGTTAATTACATGTGCTTATTTGTATAAAATACAACAAATTCATGTGTCTCATCACAGAATCATGTCTCTTGTATAAAAACCATATCAATAAGATACAGTAATGAATTATGGGTAATGCTATTAAACGAAATCAATAAATATATTATATAAATAATGTTTCTCTGTTTATTTGTCACTTTTATTCCCAACTACCCTCTATTCTAAAAAGTCCAGAACCAAATTACAAAATCTTCTAAAATAACATGTAGAATACAACAACCCAATCAAATGGGAAATGGAAAATATAAAGTTGAATACAACACACAAACTAGACAAATCAGGAAGTAATCATAGGGTGTAAGACAAGAAAAATATGTATGTGAACAGTAAATAAACTGTGTGTGAACAAGAGACAGGTTAGCTCATGTCTGTCATATTTGTTTTTCGTAAATTGTTTTGTTATAAATTAGGCTGTTAGTTTTCTTAATTGAATTGTTTCATATTTTTCATGTCAGGTCCTTTTATAGCCGACTATACGGTATGGGTTTTTCTCATTGTTGAATAATAAAATTGAGAATGGAAATGGGGATATAAAAGAGACAACAACCCGACCAAAGAGCAGACAACAGCCGAAGGCCACCAATGGGTCTTCAATGCAGCGAGAAAATCCCGCACCCGGAGGTGGTCCTCAGCCGGCCCCTAAATAAAAGTATCTACTAGTTCAGTGAAAATGGACGTCACACTAAACTCCAAAACATATAAATGAACTAATATTAGAAAACATACAAGACTAACAAATGCCAGAGGCTCCTGAAGGCCGTATGGTTTCCTATAATTGCTTAGTTCCACTTCATTTGAACTTTGGTGGAGACTTGTCTCATTGGCAATCATACCCCATCTCCTTATTTTTGTATTGGATCACTAAAAATATTGTATGTGAACACTGACAAATTAAGTTATGAGAGGTGTAAGGCTAGCAAAAATATATATGTGAACAGTGAACACTGAAAACGACAGCAAATAAACCGGTGTTAGATCACTAAAATATTGTATGTGAACACTGACAAATTAAGTTATGAGAGGTGTAAGGCCAGCAAAAATACATATGTGAACAGTGAACACTGAAAACGACAGCAAATAAACCGGTGTTAGATCACTAAAATATTGTATGTGAACACTGACAAATTAAGTTATGAGAGGTGTAAGGCCAGCAAAAATACATATGTGAACAGTGAACACTGAAAACGACAGCAAATAAACCGGTGTTAGATCACTAAAATATTGTATGTGAACACTGACAAATTAAGTTATGAGAGGTGTAAGGCCAGCAAAAATACATATGTAAACTGTGAACACTGAAAACGACAGCAACGAGACGGGTGTTAGATCACTTAAAATATGTTTGGTAACTATGGTAACAGTTAACTATGTATTATGTACATGATATGTTTTGTTCATGATAAGCTTGGTATAATTTTAAAGCTATCTACTTCTAGATTTTAGTATTCTGGTCAACACAGCTACGATATTGCAAGTTGGAAATCGTCCTTACCATGCATTGTATCGTCGGCAATCATGCCACATCTTATTTTGTATGAAGTATTTGACATTGGACGTAAAGCAAAACACTAATCAATCAATCAAGTTGGAATATTTTTAGCTAAGCAGTGTGCAATGTAAATACATTTTTGCTGAACACTAAGTAATTTTTCACCCTCTGTAGCTTAGGTGGTGTTGTAAATTTTGATAACTTATATTCCTTTCGCCTTTAATTAACCAATAAAAACAAGAAAAAATGAAAAAGAAAATCGGATAAACTCTCAATGACGTAGCAACCCAACAAAACCATAAAAATGACATAAAGTGAAAGGTCAACAGTCGTCTTTAATTATAGAAAAGTGTACATATGTCAAGTTCTAATTGGAACCAAGTCTTAACAACTTGTCAACATATTCAGTAGACCAAGAATCTTTCGATAACAAATGTCTAAATACAACAACTCCTTCAAGAATAAGTTATAAAATATAGAGAAAAAAGGCATTGAAAATCAGTAAGTAAATTGGACTTGATTTAACAGTTTTACAGAGGAATAAATACTGGTACATATAGACACACGTACATCTAGATACTATCATATTTAAGAATTGAATCCAATTACGAACCGTGTCTTCCCTCAATGTTTTAGGGAATCGTTTTAACTCCGAACTGATCCATTCTTGGAGCATCGACAGGTTTAACGTCTCTGCTATAGGCAAATTACCCGGCAAGCGAATGCATACTCCTTAAAAAAAATGTCATGATAAAGACATAACAATACCTATTTATTAATTGGGGTTTTTTAAGCTTGGTTATATAATTTATTTGTATTCTATATGCCTCCCATGTCTTGCTGGTATGCATTGTCTTTTTGTATACTGCCAAATGGTCCATGTATGGTATTTGTTAGGGCAGTATTTTCATTTCCTTAAAGGGTTCATGTTTGTTTGCTATTTCAAAAAACTTTAGCTTAAAGTTTTCACATTAAGTGTTTATATTGTAGGATCGTCCTGAACATGCTTGAATCATTTGCCACTGGACGTTAAACAACCAACAATCAATATAGTGTAGGTCTACATCCCTTTTTGTCTTGCAATCAGATAACTTTGAAAAAAAACTCTTTACATCAAATTTTTTGAAACTTCTACATTTTATGTTTTTTTCAATTTGATATTCTAGTTGGACGTTCACATTTTATCTGCACACAATATTTAGCCTCGTGTCAATCCCGTCTTTTAAAAAATTAGAAGGCACGAAAACCCTAAAACACGTTGATATTGATTGATGACATATCCTTTTATTTCCCAATACCCACTTATGATAGACTGACATATGTTGTTTGTCATATGTTCTTAAGGATAAGCGGATAAGCATAACAACTGTCATTTTAATAGATTTAAAAGTTTAATTTTGAAACACACATTACTTTAATCTTACTAATATAAGTAATTCATAGTTTTAATATAGCTTAATTTATATAACTATATTGCACTTTCTAGATACTGTTCTGGTATATTGTTTCTCTTTACGTTCGTCCTTCACATACGTCTTGACGTAACCACTCTTAAATATATTGTAAGCTATATTTAAATGTTTCAATTCATTCATAGAATGATTGCACAACATCTATATAGATACACAATAACCTTTAAGATTCTTTTACTTTGGGTAAGAGTGGCAAATTTCAGATGAATATTTTAATTTTGTATAATTTTCAATATGAGTTATTTTAAAACAAGTTGATCAGGAATTCTGTCAAATAAACTTAATCAGAGGATAGAAGCCGTTTGAGAGGGGAAGGATAAACTTATGATCCCCATTCCTTTCCACTGTGTATTGAATTATTGAAAATAGAATAAAATTGAGAATGGAAATGGGGAATGTTTCAAAGAGACAACAACCCGACCAAAGAGCAGAAAACAGCCGAAGCCCACCAATGGGTCTTCAACACAGCGAGAAAATTCCACCCGGAAGCGGGCTTCAGCTGGCCCCTAAACAAACATGTGTACCAGTTCAATGAAAATGGACGTCACACTAAACTCCAAAACATATAAATGAACTAAAATTGAAAAAAACATACTAGACTAACAAATGCCAGAGGCTCCTGAATTGGGACAGGCGCAAAATTGCGGCGGGGTTAAACATGTTTTGTGAGATCTCAACCCTCCCCCTATATCTCTAGCCAATGTAGAATAAACAAACACACAGCAATACGCACAATAAAACTCAGTTTAAAAGAAGTCCGAGTCCGATGTCAGAATAGGTGACAAAAGTAGACTGTATAGCTATATTTTTTGTTTACCGTTTGAATCTCATAGTCATCAATCCCAACCTCTGGAGTAGTTTTCACACATGTTAACGGGGTTTGTAGAATACTTAACACAGCGAAGTGCCGAAATTAAAATTTAAGACTACAAACACGCAGAACTAGTCAACACAATTGACAGTTCTGAGCCATACACTAACGAAATTATGTATTAAACAAAAATTAAACAAGCAATCAAACAAAAATGCGTTTTATACAGATATTTTTTTTAATTCAAATTACGAATGCCAATCCATCTATAGTTTTTGATTGTTTCGCACGACGCGCTTTTCCGAGTCTCAAAGCCAAACTGTATTGAACAATGTGGGTTGATAAGGGAAATTTTTCAAATACGTCAAATATAATTTTCTGAGGTACATGTATGAACATCACTTGCGATAGAAGGTGAAAATAGTATTCCATATTTACAGGATTAGAAAGGGATAAATTGTTCCGTTTTCAACAGGATACTATAAAACTTAAATACATTTGTTTTCCCCTTCTTGTTTTAATTCTTTTTATTGATACATTGATGAGATCGATATAAGGAGGTAGGAAAAAAATGTCTAAATTATAACAGTTTTTAAAATAATAATAATGATAATATTAGTAATAACGAATTATATTTATACAATGTAGAATAATATGTTCTTTTTTATAATGTGGCTAACAAAATTTATGGAAAAAAAAATTGTCGTTGTGTACCACGTGTACATCTTTCTTATCTATATTTTTTTATTTTCATTTTTTTAGTTTTAGTAATGCTGAAATCAGATTTAGATATATCTAATTCTTACAGTCCACTAGGACATTGTCCTTATTTTGTGTACTTTGATATTCAAGAAGCAAGTCATCGATAAATAAGAGAATATTTTATTTCATATTTTTGCTGTATATAATTCTGATAAACATTGCAGGTTTACCATAATTTATAACTTACTGGAAAAAGTATATGCTGACGAAAACAAAGACAAACTAGAAGTACTTGTAATAAGTGAAATGTATCAAGTGGGATTTATATTAACAACATTCCTGCTTGTGTCTTCTACAATCGGAAGTGGCTGCAACCAAAGTAAAAACACATGCAATGAAGTGAGAAGTCAAACGGTAAGAAATAAGAGTTTGTAATGAAAGCGCCGATCAATAATTGTAAATCCAAATTTTGTATTCTGATAATGTCCATAAAAGTCATTTCTTAAAGCCCAGCAGTCAGTACTTAGTGTTACATGAAATATCACTGATACGGTCATTTTTCCATAAATTTTTATGTTTATAAAATTTTGAGTAAATCGAAACACTAAGGGTTTTTCTACCCCCAGGGATTGATGGGCTTC